TACCATTTTTTAAGGACTGTACCAACTGCCATCTAAAATATTTATTTTCTTCATTGACAGAAAAGTCACCAACAATAGTTTCAATATTTTTTGTTCCTATCAAACTTTGGTATATTTCATTGACATATGTTTTATCTGCTTTATTTTCAAGGCTAACGTTTAAGTCTGTTATTTCAGAAGATGTATGTGTATGTCCAACGTCACTTTTCCTGTTTAAGGTTTCTTGTAAGTTTGTAATATTTGCAATGGTATGTGTATGAGTCTTATCTGCTTTTGTCTCTAATGTTTCCTTAAGACTTGGTATTTGGTTAATATAATGTATATGAGTCTTTTTAGAATATTCGTTTTCAGCTCTTGTCACTTCACTTGACATTTTATTGTCAACATATGTTTTGTCTGCTAGTTCAGGATGAGTATGTTCTTTTGTTGCATAAGCATTGTTAGCTCTTTCTTCTTCTTTTGCTATTGCATCGTCTACATATTCTTTGTCAGCTTTGTTGTCAACATCTGCTTTCAAAAGAAGTTCATTTATAGGTTTCTCGTTTAAAGTTCCTTTTGTTGGATTTATACAGACAGTATGGTTCTTATTGTCTTGAAACAGAAACTCATCTGTTATAGGGTTTAATGTCAGTTTTAAGTCACCCCCTTTCAATGACTCAGATATCTTAGAATAGTTTGAAAAGTTTGTTGTGTTCTTATTTAGAGCTTGCATAATGAGTTGTCGGTTGTGTTGTATTTCTCTCATAGACGCTGTTTCATTTGACATTTTTATTATAGATAAAATATGCTTCCAATAGAAAAAGAAAATTCTAGAGTTGCTACAACTAAACCATTAGATGAACTTTTTACTAATGTCGCGTCAAAAGTTTGAGACAGATACCGTAAAGCATGAAGGCTATCGTTTTTGACTACCCATTAAGATGGTTAAGAGACCCATCCGTCACAAAAGCTATTGGCTTTCGTAGAATGAAGTTCATTTCAGAAGCCATACATGGTTTCCCATTTACGGTCGGTTTTGAAGTTCGATACTATAACAAAGAAAACGTATGTATGAGAAATTTGAACAGGGAAAACTTTTACAAGTTAGTTTGCTTATAAACTTAGAAACAACTCTTCAAGCTTTTCAAGAAAAAAATAAACGATATCTATATTGAATATGCAAACCAGTATAACATTGACGAAGGAGAATACCATCTCGATATATTTATGACAGGGAAAAAATGCAACTGTTAAAATCAATAAAATAGAAGACCTTGGAGAAAACGTTTATATTTCTACAAAATATAACAACTTGGATGGTATAGATTTAAAGGATGTTTAAATCAGCCTGCAGCATATCCAGTACACCCGGACTATTATGAAGTCGAAAACCCTAATGAACATATGAAAATATTTTCGACCCAGATGCTATTATTGTTCATGCTTCATTTTCTGGTGCGCAAAACTCTTTCTTATGTCTGATGAATGACTTTTTACGAAAAACCTACAAAGTTATATGAACCGCCGAGTGGAGAAGATTTCAGACTTTCAAGTATGGTTTACTACAGATGGAAGAAAAGAATTAATTTCATTATACCATGCGTTTTTACTTAGAACTTAGTTTCATTATACAACTACTATCGAACGATAAAAATATAATTTTTTAATACGGTTGAGGTGTTGGATTTGGTTGCCAACTAGACTGTGGTGCAAGTTCAGGCTGTTGTATAACAGGAGCTTGCTCTTCTGGTTCAGGGTCTTTAGGTATAATACCAACAAACTGACCTACTCTTTTACCAATATTTTTGACACCGTTCCATACTCCTCTTCCGACAGATTTTATTCCATTCCATATACCTCTTCCAACATTTCGAAAGAAGTTTCCTATCTTACTGAAGAAACCCATTTTACTATATGTAAAAATCTAATGTCCGCCTAGTCTCTTACGTTTCCTGTTGAGTTCCATAGCATTCTTTAACTGGAGCTCATACATTCTGTTTCTCCTCTGGTAGAAAACATATTCTGGGTCAACTCCTGTGTTCGCGTCATCTGCATAAAGTTGTTTATATCCCACTTCAGGGTTTGTATAAAACTCTTTCCATCTCATATTTGCATACCATGGTGGCAAACCTAACGCAGCATCATTTGACATGGCAGTTTGCATTTGTACATCTGTTGGCACTTGACCATAGTTTGCCATTGCAGTTTGTATTCTAACTTCATTTGGAATATTCTCTGGGTTTGGTTGTCCAGGTTGCTGTGCATTCGCTAAGTTCTGTGCGTCCATTTAATATTAGATAAAAATATCTCTTACGAGTACATATGCTGAACATTTGCAGGCATTGGTTCATCTTCATATTCTCTGTACTTTTCTGCCACGTCAAATAAATAAATGACACAATGGAAAAAACCTAAAACAAGTAGTCCTATTTCAAACCACATTTACTTACTAATAAAATTTCTTTATTGTGACACTTTCTCCGGTTTATAGGACCTCTCTCATATTCTATTTGTCATATATAAACTCATAGTCATGTATGTCCTCTAACCATCTCATAACGGTTTCCAAACCACTTTTATCGGATGTAAAGTAAAAGCATGGATGGTTATGTATAACGTCTAAAGTTTCTAAAGAGTCTCTCAAAGTCCAGTCTACTTGGTATTGAAAATCCCATGTGTTATAGAACGGCGGGTCCACTATAAAGAAAACATTTTCCTTGTCTTTATATTTTTCATACAACTCTGTCCAATGACATCTCACAAACTCTATACCCTCAATATATTTTTCTATGTCCTCTTTGAAAACATTTGTATAGTTAAGATATAAAACTTTTGACATAAGTGTTTCAATGTCATGAACTCTTATAGCACCACTATATAATAGTCTAGCAGATATACTATCCCAGTCTATATATTCTGCTTTTTTCAAAACCTCTCTCACAATATTTTTCTTATCTAATGGTATACGTTCCATCTTACCTATAGGTATCTTTTCTTTTAACTCTTTCAATATATTGTTTGTGTCTGGAATATGTTTGAGACGGTCCATATAGTTGTCGAAGTCATTGCATATAATCTTTGAGTCAGGAAATACGGTATGACATAAATGGGATATATAGAAACTTCCACCGAACAAATCTACAAATGTTAGACCATTCGGTAGTTTCTTAAGTTCTCTCAATATAATATCTTTGCATCTACTCTTATTTCCAAAGAACGGTAACGGTGGTTTTGTAAAATTCATTTATATATAATAATAAAAATGTTTTTACCCGAAAAGTGACAGAAAAGTGACAAAACATGAAAACATATATAATTTGTGAAAAGCGGCGTAAAAAGTGACATTTTAAAAAGTGACACCATTAATATGATGTAAATAACAACGGTTTTGGTTTTGTCACCGGCTGGTCGGCTGGGGTTCGGTCCTCCTCTTGGGTCTTGGGCAAAATTTCTTATGGGCTAGAGGGCGCAACGCGCCTGGAAGCCCCACTTACCTGACCTAAATGCTCCTAATTATGCTTAAATTACTTGCTTGAAGACCTCATTTAAATTTCGAAATGTAAAATCTTGAAGTAAAACGTAAAATATATATGAGTTCATTCTGTTTGTATGCGTATTTTATGATACTTTGTTATTCTGCCGAATTAGAGATAATAGTTCTGCAGAAATTGACTTTTTGTGAGGATCTCATATAATTAATTGTATGTAATCTCTTAAAAAGTGGAAGTCAGGTTCACCTTTTGACTCACAGTTGAACTTCTACAACGAATGCATATCACTGCATATAATCTTTTGATATTTCTGATTTCAATTATTTAACTCAAATTCAGATGATAATTACTACATTTACAAGCAAACATATAAAGATGAAATGGAAATTTTTGAACTTTTTAAAGCAAACGCATATAATGGTTTTAGAAATGATTAAAGTAGTTTCTAAAGTAAGTTTGGCGCATTTTTTGAAGATTTTTCAAAAGATGAAAATTAAAATCCACCAAAATTTTGAGATGCTAAATCTTCACGTGATGGCTTAGATCAATTTCATAATTAATGATCTGAATTCAATATGCTACTAACCATTTCTGTTGATGAAATCGATGATAATAATCATCAAGAAGAAATTATTCAAGAATACACCGATATTATACATAAATTAACTTATTTTCTTAAAAATACAACCTAAAACTTAAAAATGCTGAAGCAAAGACAGAAAAATCAACAAGTCAGAAAAAAAAAGTCAAAAAAGATCATAAAGATGAAAATTACGTTGATTGAGATGACAAAGTGCTGTGTATCCATAATTTTCTTCTCTCATTGATATTTACACCATATGAATATGCTAATTATATTTCGAAGAAGTTGTGATCGGATTCTGAAAATGAGGAATGGAATAAGTACTTAGAAGGCAAAATATCTCTGATGAGAGATGGAATATTTAATTAATGCTTCTTTCAGTAGTGAATAATAGAGAATTCTCAATCAACGAAGTCGGGAACAGAACATATAAACAAATTTCAGAGAGTGTAGTATCATTTGTTAAGGAAAAACAATTCAATCTCTTTCAGAACAACATTGCTTCTGACTAAGAAAAAAAAACTTAATCTTTACTCCCAATAGCAATTTCCTCTGTTTCTCCTCCCTATCACTAACAAAGGCTTCTTGAGTAGCTCTTTCCTCATGTCGCGAATCAGGTTAATATTGTGCTTCACCTCTTTCCAGGCTTCGTCAACTTTATTCAGCATATTTGGGTACTGATACATATTCTGCACAAATTCGAGCGACAAAATGGAATCATCACACAATTTCGAGATCTCTTCCTTCAGTCCATCATCTTCTCTCGGCCGATCTCGGCTAATTTCTTGCTTTCGATTGAAAATTTCCGATCTACGTGTTTCAAGATCCTGTGTAATTTCACTTATCTGATCTAAAATTTTTTTTGTCTCCGAAATTGGTGAAGATAATTTTTCAATTCTGGATTTATACTCATCCTTCAAACGTCTTATGTCTTCATTTCTGTCAAACTATTTTCTGTTCTCATTAGCTATCTGATCTAGTTTATGGAATTCAAATATCTTTAATAATTCTTTTTTCTTTAATTCTTTTTCCTTTGATAATTGTTCTTCATTCATGAATTTTTTGTTCTTCATTAATTCATTGATCATGTCTCTGAAGATTCCCTCCGCTTCATATATCTTTGACTCAAGCATGATCTTTAAATGGTCGCTTTCAATAACATTTTTGTCGCGTTTTTTCAAAGATTTCTCAATTTTTCTAAATTCTTTGATTTGATTTTCAGAAAAATCGTTTGGAATTGTAACTTTTACGTAATTGATGTCATAATTGACTCTGAAAACTCCATTTGAGTCAACATAAACTTTGTAATCGCTGCCATTTGACTCAACTTTTACTTTACATGAGAAATTTACAATTTTGTTAAAAGACTTTGTTATGGTTGGAATGAACTCAAGAGCATCGAAAACTATTATATTTTCCGATTCAATTTCAATTGGACGATATAATATGTCTGCAATCTGCAAAGAAGGTTTCATAGCACATCCAATGGCTACACATTCATCAACATTGATGTTTGAAACAACCTTAATTCCGATTTCTTCGATCTTTTTGCGGAATAACGGAATTCTGGATGTTCCTCCGATGAGTTCTATGAAGGTTGGAAAGTCATCACTTGTTTCGATCAGTTCATTGACAAATGATGCACAGTATTCTGCATATTCTTCGATAATATCTTCAAAATCTTCTCTATTAATGGGAAAACTGATGTATTTATCACCATACTGGTATTCAAATTGGACAGAAGTATTTGCTGAGAGAATTTTTTTGGCATTTTCAACGGATTTGAGAAATTGATGCATGGACGAGGATTTGTTTCTCAAATCGTTTCTGAGATTGATGAAGTATTTCTGTGATATTTTGTTGAGGAGGTACTCAGTTAGAAGTTCAGTGATTTTTCTGCCGCTGATTTCATTTTTTTGCTGATGAGCAATTACTTCAATGGAATTTTGAAACAATTTGAGGATACTAACCTTTAATGAAGAATCACCAATGTCAACTACATAAATTGTCTTTGATTGATAAGGATCTTGTTCTATTTTATCTGTATGAGAGTGTATATATGCTGCTCCTGCAGCAACTGTTGATGTGACAAGTTCACAATCTATTCCAGCTATTTTTGCTGCATTCAAAAGTCCAATTCTTTGAATATTTGAACAATCTGGATCAACCGATAAATATAACTTGTTTACTTCTGGGTCATTCTCTTCCTTTTTAGCAATGTTAATTAAATGCTTTAAAAATGATGCAATGCATTGTTCTGGTGAAAAAGCGTTTGGTTTAGGAAAATTTCTACACCAAATACCAGTTAATTCATTTTCCAATTTACACAAGGAAAACCTAAAATCAGGTTCAATTCTTTCTCGGTCTGGTGAATTATATTGTAAACCAATCAATTTTCTGAGATTTGCAATTGTAAAACTTATGTTATCGGGTTGGTTCAGTTGAGCTTGATCTCCAAAAAAGCGTCTTTCTTCGCCATACGATATCAAAGTTGGAAATATCTTTGTAGATGAAGAATCAGCGCAGACTTTGATTATTCCGTTAGTGTTAACTGCAACAATTGCATTCTTATGTCCAAGATCTATGCCAACACAGTGAATGGAATGGTTCATTATATCTGAATGAAAGGTGGCAAATTCTAATTGTTTACCATATTTTGTACATTATTGAGAACTTTACAATGTTTGCCAAGCAAATTTTGCTACGCTCTCAATAATGAACAAGATATACAAATTATGGACAAAATTTAAAACCATGTCACTCATTCAATTATGAGGCAATTTGTGAGCAGAAGATTTTGTTAAGCCCACAATTTGGATTTTTACGTATCTTATGATGCATATTCAAATAACATGAATATAAAAAGTTTTTAAAATTAGTCAAAATTTTCTAAGAATTAATTTTTGAATAGTTTACATTTCTAATAGTTCCTTCAATGAGAGTGCGAGAAAATTAGCACTTTTCTTGCACTTTTTGAATTTCAATTTTGAATTGTAATTCAAAAAGTGCAAGAAAACTGCATTCTCTTGCCTTCAATAATACAATTTTAAAAAAAAAAAAAAAAAAAAAAAAAAAAAAAAAGGTAGTGGGGCTTCCAGGCGCGTTGCGCCCTCTAGCCCCTAAGAAACTAGAGGAGGAATGATACAAAGACCAGATGAAAAAAATAAAAATATTATAATAAAATTAAATTTTTAGTCTTAAATTGTTTTTTTATTCGGTATATTCTGAATCTTGAATGTCTTGGAAATTTTCTTCTTCTTCGCTCTCTGAGGTGAGGATTTCTTCGACTTCTTCTTCTTCGCTCTCTGAGGTGAGAATTTCTTCGACTTCTTCTTCTTCGCCATTGGGAGCAACAAATCCTGCAATGAAAACTTTGTATATACCTTCTTGAGGAGTCTCTATGATGAAAGTCGTATTGTTGAGGAAATGGAACTCGACATCTTGAACAAATTGGCAACTGCTGTGTGTGAATTTTGCAATTGTGAGAGGCTTTCCTTTATAGCCCTTGGGAAAGCTTGAGATAGTTACTGTTCCTCCATATGGAACTCTGGCAGGAATATCTAAAGCAACAGTTGTTATAACGTGGAAATTGTCTAAATTGAGGCATAGGTTCAATGCAGTATAGTCGTTTTGACTGGTTGTCTTTTGTGTAGAAATATAAATAGAATGACCTTTCACCATGTTCATTCAATTCTTCCAAATAATTGTATGAATTTGGATATAAACGGACAAATTCAGCAACTTTAACTTCTTGTAAATGCTTCTGCAAGTTCTTTGGAAACAAGTGAATGAACTGGTCAATAGCTTGCAACGCTATGAGATTGGCAGTAACGGGTAAATATGAAGCAAACATGTCAACAAGTACGCCAGGGTCTTTGATTTCGTTTTCAAGAGGCTGAATGGCATCCATGACAGCTTGAAACATCTCGTTATAATCTCGATTGTCTTCTGAACCCCACTGTTCATTTAACTTATCTAACAATTCTAACCTTTTCTTTGCGTATTTTCTACGAACTTTCTCTGAAAGAGGAGTGTCGCTATCTTGTGGGTCTTGAATTTGAGACTTAAATTGTTTGCTAAAGGCGAGATATCGTGTTTGCGACCTAGTGGTCATTGCAGAATGTGTTTCTGTATGTTCGATTGGATGTGTTTCTGTATTTTCGGGTGGTTGTGTTTCTGTATGTTCGATTGGAGTCTGATTGGTATGAACTTCTTCTGAAAATGCTTCTGTTCCGATAGTTGTTGTTGCCTGACCTGTTGGCTGAGCTGTTTCTTTGTGCAAATGCATATTGTCCAACAATTTGTCTTGAATTGTATGAGGAAGTTGCTTTGGTATTATAGGAGGTCGTAAGGGTTTTGAGAATGGTGAGACATAAGTTGTAGGAACTTTAACTGCAGAGGTAGTCGACGAATTGTTTGCGACACTTTTTCTTCCTTCCATTATGAAAAATAACTGTTTTTTTCGGACTACTCATAGAAAAGTTTAAAATAAACCGTTTTCGTCAACGGTAACCCCATCTATAATTTTATTTTATTGAAAAGTCTCCGTTGGCAAACCGTTCCATCTCAAATATTTGAGAAGATAACTTCACATTTTGACTTTTAAATACATATTTTTCACCATCGGACAAACTTTTGACAGAAAGGACTTACACAACTTTACACTTGTCAAAATATTTTTAACATACGATAGTATATATTTGCTCGAACAAATAATGGTCTATCGTCAACGCTCATAGAGATAGACCCACTTTTCTAAAGTATATATTTGAGTACTTTAAAAAAATATTATAGAACGATATAACAAATATTTTACAAAACTGACAACACTTTGACCGAGTAGTTTTTTGTGCTGAACAAAAAGTGTCATATAAACATCTGTCAAAAACCGCTTTTTAACTTCACTTAAAATGCCACGTAAGCTACGTAAGAATATACGTAAGAGGAAGAGAGCATTGAAACATCCAATAGTAAAACTGACACCACAACAACAGTTGCAACAACAAATGATGAATGACCCCACTATGTTGCAACAAATGTCAAGCAACCCTATGCTTTTAAACCGAGTTATTGGTGCACAGAGTGGAGGTTTAAGAGCGGCACTTTTAGCGAAAATGGCAGGCTATGGTGGAGCTGCAGACGGAACAGCTTATAACCCTCAAAGTCAAATGAATTTGAGTTCACTCAAAAATCAAATAACAGATGTCAAAAAGTCAAACATAGACATACAGAAACAAATAAGTGAAAACGAAAAGAAACTAGAATATGACAGACACACAAAGAAACTCAATGAGTTAAACGTAGAGAAAAAGAAGAAAAGAACAACTGAAAGAACTAAGTACAGAGGAATATGCGAAAAAAGTGTCAGAAAAAGCAGCAGAAGTAGCAAAAATGGAACAAGATGTTATAAATTTGAAAAACCATACTACTCAATATAAAGTACTGAAAGATGAAGAAATAAAACAAAAAGCCCTGAAGACATATATGGATAGCGATGAGTATAAAAAAGAAGTTGAAGCAAATGTAAAGGCAGAAAAACTTTTACAGTTGCAAAACCAAACCGTACAGTATGAAAACTTAGCACAAGAAAGTAAAAATAACGACGCAGCCATGCAAAAGGCAATGAAAAGCGCAGAATATATAAAAGCTAACAATGACTGGTTAGATGCCCAAGCCAACGCTAAAGCAGCCCAACTTATAGGGTCAATAAGGACAAAAATACAAGCGGATGAAGACAGTTCAAATGAAGCTTTAACAATGCTGACTTTAAGAACGCCTTCGAAGCTCTTCATAGTAAGGTGAAACAGTGAACGACTTCTCATCTGGAAAGAAACTGAAGTCTGAAGGTTTCGACAAAGAGTTAAAGAAGTAGCACAAAATATGACGAAAATAACAGATGCAGCAACGAGACAGGCAGTTCAAAGTGCCTATGACGCCGTTAGAGCAACTGTTGTGGAAAGTCAAGAAAAAGAGTTACAACAGACCAAAACAGACCTAGTAAATGCTTTCTTAAGAACGAAAAGTCAGGTAGGACATTACGCTGCAGATGGAACATATGTGCCAGCTGGTGGAACTTATATACCACCAAACCCTCCAAGAGAAGCACCTGCACCAGGACTACCTAAAACATTTACATCGTCACATGGACACAGACACAGGCATGCACCAAAACCAACACAACAACCAACAGTTCAAAACCAGCACAACAACCACCTCACAACCAGCACAACAACCAACAAACCAGCACAACCACTCACAACCAGCACCAACCACAAACAGAGCAAGGACATAAAAGAAGTAGAGAACAAGGAAACCAAGAATTCTTAAAAATGCTTAAAGAAGAGTGTGGTTTCCCAGATACTCTTGACTTTAGTGACAGATATAAAGAAGCTATTGAAAGTTCAAGGATGGAAATACTGACCCGAACCTATTTAGCTTTATGGCTCAGCACCAAAAGGATATAATCTCAAACCTGGAAAATACAAGCTCGCTAAGGGATATGATTTAATAGCATATCATCCAAATGACATGGATGAATTTACTCCGAGATATTTGATGTCAGAGCTAAATGACAATTCAACTTTCGTCATGAAACGCGTAAAAAATAGAGACGGAACGAAAGAACAAAAGCTTATGAATGCGGATGACGTAGATAGGGAAATTGTTAAAACGGTCTCGGAATATATGAAATGCCAGCAGATGAGGTACAAGAAACTCCACAGGAAGAAGTTCAGATACAACCAGACATGGAAGAAATAGTTCAGCAACAACAGCTAGAAGAGCCTGAAGGAAACGAACAAGTCCTCCTTTGGAAACTAACTTCACAGAACTAGATGAAGATTTGGAACAGCCGAAAAATCTTGACCCTCAACAAGAGTATGAGGAGAATATGGAATCTTTCCAAGAGTCTAAGAAAATTCGGCTGACATAGTAGAAGAATATCGAAAAATGTTTGCCGACATACAAAAGACTCCAACAGATGAAAATATTCAGCATAGAATGGAAGTACTGAAAGAAAATGTACACAAATACAACAACCCTTTTTACTTACGAGCATTTAACGTTCAATCTTTGGATGAACTCGGTGAAAATAAAAGGTTAAATTTCAAGAAAACATATAGAAATGAAACATTGTTTAAAGTTCATTCAGAACCTAACCAATGGAAACAAACCTACTTTTGTTTCTGCAGACGATGGAACTACAATGAGATGGGGTCATAAAGCTAATCCGGATAGGTGGTTCATAAACTTACAACCAAATTCCAAGAAGTTGTAGACGCAATGGAAGTCAATGGTGAACCAGATATAGCTGGTATTTTCAGCGCGGCTTTAATGCCATTGAAAGATATGAAATGCAGATATTTTGGACCAGTATGAAATGAACATGGCTGATGGAAATATAACACCTGACGTTCTAGAACATTTATCTCAAAGAACTACACAGAACCATAGAGATGGTATATTTGGTGAAGAGTTTAGAAAGAAAGTTAGGGAGGAGAAGGAAGAGAACCTATTGTACATGACCTTGCAAACGAAAGTTTACAAAATGTCATAAAAACTTACTTTGCAGACAATGAACCGAGAAGGGATGAATATTTAAGAAAACTCAAATGGACAGTACCAAATGAAATGTTAGTATTGAAAAACATGTTCCTTGACAAAATAAAACCAACTACAGAAATAAATGACGCAAGACTGAAAGATTGGGTAAAAGCTTTCCCATTCACAAAAGATATTATTGGTAACATGGAAAGAAAACCAGAATGGCTACAAAAACATATATTTGGAAACGAGCTTATTCCATATGGACAGGCACTGTTTGAAGAGCTTGAACCGAAACTCAGGAAAGAGTCATGCAAACAATACGCGACTCAAATACAAACTATGACAAAATCTTTCTAGGATATAGGTTACCTGAGATGGGCGACCAGAGCCAAAAGGCAAAAAGGACATGGGAAATTTGCAACATACTAGATGAACATAATGCAAAGATGCAACAACTTCAAGCAGAGGGCAATGAAGGAAAAAGAAGAGTTAAAAACTCAGTCAGGAAGAAAGTAAAGCTTGGTCCACGTGGGTTCTATTATGACATATAAATCCAACTATTCTATATTTTTACTCATATGAAATGTACGCCGCTCAGAATATAACGCCAACAGTTTTGGATGCTATGAATGGAAATGTTTCCGAATGGTATAACGAATGCGACAATGCCATTAGAAGGTCAGAAATAGTTCCTGGAACTTACGAATATACAACTGCTGTTTCTTATGGAAACGTAGGTGAGTTTGGAGAAGGTTCTTCAACAACAGTAGATATTGCTTGCGACAGGTTTCATATAATTTCTATTGACAACTCTTTCTTATACGTGGAACAAGACATTGAAATAAAACCTTCTGCCAAGTTGTCTGACAAGAAAGGTTGCAATGGAATTTTCTATGTCGGATACCAATATGCTCCAGAAGTTTTCATGGGATATAAGATATATTCTAACTCTGACTTAGTTCAAACAGTAACATGGGCAAACTATGAATGGTTCGCTTTAAGAAACTCAGTACAACCACAAGCTAGAGAACAAACAGACCAATATGCAACTATTGAGAAAATAAGAAGACTTGACCCTAACGTTCCAGGAGTTTATGTTAACCTTTCTGGACAAACTGCAGCAGCAGTAACCAAAGTAAAACTGAAACTTAGAGTTCCTTTGTCATCTTTCCTCATCTTCAGGTTTTTAAGATACTTGCCAAACTGGGCAGGAAAAATTTCTATTGAACTTACTCCAAGCAAAAATAACTTAGTCATTGCACCAACGCAAGACCCATTCACTCTTACAGACGTAAAGAGCAAATCAAACGTCATTCGCCGAATTTTGCAAAGACAAAGTTGACTTAGACTTTGGTTTCTCAAACCTCAACACTGAAGTAAACTACTACTTCAATGCTGCTGGAACTGCTTGGGACCCAGTTAAGTTCACATGCGAAAAATTTGAATGCAAGAGAATAGAAAGCAGACTTGCAGTCTATATGTTGGACCCAGATATTTCAAATGCTTTAGCTGCCAAATATATTGCAGTTCCACTTATGTTCCCTATACACCAAATATCTGTCAAAGACTTTGCAGGTGAAGTTGGAAACCAAAGTGCTGACCCAGGTGCAAGAACAGATATTGCTTAACAACTGCAATGAAACATGCAGATACTATGTTTGTACTGTTCAGACGAACTATAAATGACTATTCTTGCTTCTACAACCCTGGTATTAAATACCATATAAACATAGATGGCAAATACTATCCAAGAGAAGAATATTCACAGTTGAGGATATGAGGTCATACAACTTGACATTAGATGCTATGAACTTTAACAACAACTTCACAACAACCATTAACCCTGAAATGCAAAGTTCTATTATGCCATATGTGAAAGTATGGACCATACAGGAGCTCAAAAAACTCAATATACAAATGGAGACCGTTCAAACTTTTGGCTTGGCATTCCATTTGCTGACTCAGAAGACTTTATGGGTGGTATTTCAACTGTTGGTACAGTTCAAATACAATATACTGGTGACAGAGACGGTCCAGATGAATTGAAAGCAAAGAAGTTTACAAAACCAATAGCACTTTTCACGGAAGATGCTCTTTTGAAGATTCGTTCGATGAAACCTGCTGGGGCTCCTCAGATTGGTATAACGACAGCTTCCATCGAGCAGATTTTGGCAGCAGGTCAGTAAGTTGTTCTTGAACTGACTTCTCTCCGTCAAATATTGACAGTACGCCAGTTTTGATATAATATTGTATTATAAACTTACCTTTAGAAATATCGGTCAGTTTTGTTGTTATATTTTTGTCTGCTTCAAGAACTTTCACCATCTCGGTTATACCAACTTTCTTTGCTTTATGAAAATATTTTGGTTCAGCAAAGACTGCTATTCTATAACATTTTCCATTGTTTGTGTAAAGAACTACTCTGTCAATGAACTTGTATTGTTTGTGTGTGTAAACTTTGTTCTGCTTCAATTCGAAGAGATACTCGAATACGTCCATCTTTTTATTCTAAGTAAAATGTCATTTCCGAAAAATAGAAGCGTAAGTGTTTCAAAAGGTTTAATGGCGGTGGCAGATGTGAAGTTAAATTCACCAACTCAAACAAACAGTCAAAGTGTTGTTGTCAATGTCAAAGAAAGAGATGTTGAAGTGGGGAAACCATACGAAGACGAAGATGGTATAACAATAGTTCCTGTAAAAGAACCAACATATCCTGAAGTTAGCAGAGACTTAAGTTCTGTTGCAGATATTCGAAACGACTACCAACAACTGAAAGACAAACTTAAAACTCAGGAGAAGATTTGTCAAGCTTTAAGTATAATGTTAAACTTGGTCGAACACAACCCTGTAAAAGTGAACTCATATGTCATTGCACCTCATGAAGTTTTGAAAGAACTATTGAAACTTTTGACAGAGGCAGACGATATAAACATCAAAAAATAGAACCCGACATTAGTTGCTGTGGTGTTTCATATAATGTCATTGACAAGATATACGTTATGAAAGGAGGTGAAACGTTGAACTTAAATATAGTTTCCCAGACGTCATAAAAATATTTGACGACCACAACATTTCATTAAAATTTATTTGCTAAGTAAATGGCAGAAGATATAATGGTTTATACTATTACGACTAAAAACCCTGAGTCATATAATTCTATAACAACAAACTTACAAAGTCCTCAAGGACGATATTGTAAACTGACCTTAAACACGATGACGACTAAAGCCTGTTTTGCTCTTTTGACACCAGAAGACTTTGTTGTTGTGAATGGTAAAAAATACTTCTTTGAAGATACTTACTCAGATATACCACCAACAGGTTTTGTTGACTTATTTAATACTTTAAGGACGGATGTAACATGTGCTGCAACTAGAGCAGGTTTCATTTTGGATGTCCGACTGAGTTTACTATAAACGATATGAGCTATAATACAAAACTTATATCTGGTTTTTACTACCAACAGTTTCCTATAACAGGAAAAGGTGTCATACAAGGTTTGTCTGTTCCATTGACTTTAAGTACACCTATTTTATATATTGTTTCAAACTTAGGTTCAAAGTGCTTCGAATGTCGACAGAAACTACTATGACCAAAAGATACTCATGCGTATAAACAACACTTTCTCTGCTGGTTTGCCTATTGTTCATTCGAATGCAGAGTTTTCAGCTTTAGTAAACTCAAACACTTTAGCAAACATAAACTTAACCTTAGTTGACGCAAACTTTGTTCCTGTAAAACTTTTATGTCCTATGTATTGTCAATGACGGCAGAAAGTTTCGAATTGGAAGATGCAACTGGTGAAAGTATTGTATTACAAGAACAACTTCAACAACAAATAGCTCAAGAACAACAAATGCAACAAATGGAACAACAAAGTCAAGAATAAAAAAATAATATTTTTTTTATTTTTATAAAAATGTACAGAATAGACGTTTCAGATTTTTATGACTTCCAAGCCTTCAGAAATATGTGTCCATTTAGAGACTATAACAAAGCAGTCGAGAATTTGAAACGTTTAGTCATTTATGTTGACTCTGCCCCAGAATGTTATGTCATGAAAGAATGGGATGTTGTCTTTAACAAACCAAGAGCAACAATAGTGTCTGAACAAGAATGTAGACAGAAACTTAAGAAAATAAAAGTCGTACAAGTTGGCATGAAGATGTTAGATGCTTGGGATATCTTATTGTCAAAGTTAGAAGATTTTTCAGTTCGTGGTATAAAGTTTTATACACCTTCTCCAAACTTCTATTCTATCTTCACTGGATATAAATATGAACAAGTAGAATGGAAAGAAAATGTTATAGAAGCTTGGTTAGACCATGTCAAAGAAATTATATGCAATGGAAACGAAAGAGTCTATGAGTATATCTTATGTTGGTTTGCAAACATCTTACAACATCCAAGTGCTAAAAATGAAACTGCTCTCATTATAATTGGAAAACAAGGAACAGGTAAGAACACATTCTTTACAGATATCTTATGCAAACTGTTAGAAGGTTATTCGAATCCGAATATGACAAACTTAGAAAACATCTGTGGCAAGTTTAACTCCTCAATAGAGAATATGAAACTTATAGTATGTAACGAACTTCAAAGTATAGATACAACAAAGGTTTTAAACTCAGATGCTTTGAAGAGTCTTATAACAGACAAAGTTGGAGTTGTTGAAAGAAAGTATAAAGACCAAAGAGTTTGTGAAAATGTTGCAAACTTCATCATGGTTTCAAACAACGCCGTTCCGATGAAGTTAGAAAGTTCTGACAGAAGATATGTAGTTGTCAGAACGTCAGATTCTCATATGCAAGATACGAATATTTTGACGACTTAGCAGAAACTTTGACACCTAACTTTTACAACCACTTTTCTCATATTTCATGACATTAGATATTTCTAAGTTCAATCCAAGACAAATTCCACATACCGAAGAGAGACAAACATTGTTAGAAGCAACAAGAGTGTATATGAACTGTTATAGATGAGACTGACTTTGAGTGTTTAGATGAAAAGGTCATTGTACGATTCGTATAAACATATTGTCAAGTATGGTTATATGGCAGCGTCTAAACGAACATTCTTGGCAAATGTCAAAAGTCTTTTAGATGTACAGAACGGCGTATATACAAAGAAAAATTTTTCTGAGTAAATTTTAAAAAAATATTTTTTTATCCGATAGAAAAGATGACGAAATATATTTCAGTCAACAAGTACATGACAGAACAAAGAAGAACTAGACCCATTCGTTATTTGAATGTTTACTTCTACCATTTTGAAAAGTCTACATTGACAAAGTTTGGAACATCGAACCAGTTAAGTTTGCTATTGTGACTAAAAATGGTGCGAAATTTGAAGACTTAGACATAGAAGGTTTGTTAGCAGTCAAAGAATTTTGACAGAAGGTTTCAAACCTTAAAGAAGGCAAAGCATACAAACTTGTTATACCTTATGAACCAAAGAAAGCAGACGACTATGAATATTATGAGTCTAAGATAGTTGAAGTTCAAGGTAAATTGGGTAAAAAGATTTTAGAGTCTAAGCCAGTGTTTGCTCCTAAAGAGGAAGAGAACATTGACATTGACCCAGAAATGTTCTAAAAATAAAATTTTATTTTTACATGTCAAATTTCTTTTTCTCTGGAACTGGTTCAGGTTCTTTCTTCTCTTCTTCTACTTTCTTTTCTTTCTTTTCTCTCTTCTTCTTCTTCTGGTGGAGTTATGTCAAATTTGGCGCAACCATATTTATGTAAAAGTTCTTTGTCCTTTAATAGCTCTTCTATTCTGTTTTCTATTTCATCTTCAAGAACAGCGCATGTGTCTTCTTTGCATTCTAAGAACTTTTGTTGGACTTCATCTTTCCAAGAGGCGTCATCTCTGTCAACAAGTCTGTCATTGACAAACTTAAGACTTCTCTGCTTAATGTTTTATGGTTCTTGTCATATTCCCAGAAACAGAACTTTAGAACAAATTCACCTTTCTTGTTTACACTATGTAAGATTTTATGGTCGACAGATGTTTTGCTGTCGAAAAGCTTGTCTCGAATATAGATAGCGAAATCGCTAGACATTTTCTAAAAGATAAAAATTTTAATTTTTCTAAAAATATGTTAGAAAAAAAGTTTGCTGACATTGACAAGAAATTTGAGAATGTTTTAAAAAGAACAAGAGGAAGTTAGAAAATGCTCAGATAAAGCCTATACATGACAAGTTCTTATTTGCTCAGAATGGTATAACAGGTCTAATTGCACCACCTGGGTCGGGTAAGACTTTCACTTATCTTAAAATGGCTGCACAACAACAAGAACTAGATGAGAAGAACCCATTCTATGAGTTAGTTGTTATTTGTAGTACTTCTGGTCAATTTGACCAAACCGTCAATTCGTTCAAAGATATTATAAAGAAGTCTAAGTTAGTATGTATAAAAGACTCTGAGTTGTTAGATTGGATAAAGAAGTACCAAAGAAGAGTTTTGAAGTACAATGCTATAAATGAGTATATAAATTCGAAGTTTAAAGACCCAAATGAGGAAATGCAGAGAATATTAGAGAAGAAACACTTCAGAAACAAACAGAAAGAGATAGAATACATTTCGAAGAAATTGCAATCTTACGATTGGAAGACTTACCCTCATAGATGTCTTCTTATCTTAGATGACTTTGCTTCTCATCCTTTGTTAAAGAACAGAGAACAAGATATGTGTCGAATTCTTAAGAAGCTCAGACACTTTAACATCTCAGTTGTCATTTGTGTACAGACAGCAAAGAGTTTAAGTAAGGATGTAAAAGAATACTTACTGACATCATACTTTTCCCTGGATTGTCCGAAGACGATTTCATGGAACTTATGAAAGAGTCCATGGCAGGTAAGTTTGACAGACATGAACTATGGGAGAAGTACAAAGTCATACAAGACCCTCATACTTCTTTCAGAATTCATATCTACGCAAACAAAGTTCAAATTGTAAAAAGTCAAGCTTGTAAAAATAAGTGTTTTGGCGACCAGGGTTTTTCACTACTCGCTGTTCTTCTTCGTTTCCGAGGAAGCAACCATATGTCATTTACTCAGATTTTCAGAATTCAATAAAAATATATTTTAGGGTAGAAGGGTATATCTACCCGTTTCTACCCTCATTTCTACCCCAGTTATTTTATAAGCGTTTTACATGGTAAACATTGTGAATTCGTGAAATTCTAAACAATTTCGTAGCTTCTATTTCTTCTGTCAGTACATCGAATGTTTTAACAATGCCGAAGGTTTCTTTATATTTCTTCTTGACATCTGAAAGAAGGAAATCGTCAGCTGTTGGATAGTTTTTGTTTAGAAATGTCAACATGTCCATTTTATCTTCTGCTGGTTTCTCTGCCTCCCTCTTTAAGTCAGCATAGTCGTTTCTCATACGTTCTATCTCTTTGACGGAGTAGTTATATTTCCTAATTGCTGCCTTACATTTTGAACATTGCGGGTTCATTTTTGCGTTATATTCTGAAACCTTACCTGCTAGTATGACTAAGGCGTCAATTGCTCTCTTTAACTCAAAAGTTGCGGGTTTTATCTGTTCATTCCATATCTTACCTCTTCTATCTTTATCTCTTATCTGCCATACACATTCAGCAACTAACGAAACAAAGTTGTCGTAGGTCTTAAACTCCCCAGATTTGTATATGTCAGAGATGTTCTTATATACCATATCGCAATCTTTGTCCATGACTTTGTGGTTGCAATGAAATCCAAGAAACTCATAGTTAACCTTTCGAATGAACTTCTTTATTTCTACTGAGTCAGTTGGTTTCACTTCAATTTCGTCGAATTCAGGAATAGTGAGTTTTTGTTGCTGAATTTCAGGCAATTTGGGTAAATGGTCAATAATGTCCTGCATTTCATAAAGATACTGTTCATTTGTTTCATCTTTCGCACAACAGTCCAAAGTACTTGTTAAAAGTTCTTGCTTTATCTTCTGGATTTTTGTTTCGAAAGTATATGAAGAAGGAATGAAGCTTTTCATCTCTACTAACATTGAAGTTGGGTTCATGACTAAAGAGTTTGGTGCTGTTGTTGCTAACATGTTCTTACAATAAAAATAAAAAAATATTTTTTTAAAAAAACCAACTTTATTTTTTTTATTCATGACAAATTCAGAAAAGAGGTTAGGGTTAGATAACCATCACCCTAAACATTTTGGTGTAAATTTCAAAATTCAAGAGGTAGAAAAGAGGTTAGAAAAGAGGTTAGATATACCCTTCTACCCTAAAATATATTTTTGGTGTAAAATTCAAATTGTAAAAAGTCAAGCTTGAAAAATCTAAGTGTTTAGTCTTAGTAAGATGGTAGCTTCTTAAAGCATATGCCGTCCTTGAGTTTTAGGTACGTGAAGAGAAGTACAATGAATTCAATTACGAGTACAATTGCAATGACAACTAAGGCAACTATTTTTGTCTTTTGCCAGCAAGGCGTACTTCTTCTCTTCAATGGTTCGGCAGAACTATACTCACTCATGAGAAATGTCAAAAACGGTTTAATAGAAAAAGTGTCATTTTTTTCATGTCCGAAGACTCGAAGGTGCAACACTTCCAAAATACCGACGAACTCAGAAGAGCAGCATGGCAGTATCTTCTTGACAACTTCTTTGAGTTCTCCAGGTACACCTTGGAAAATGCTGAAGAACTCCGACACAGAGAATTTGGAGAAATTGCACTCCAATACTACCTTGACAAACAAAGGGTAAACAAAGGGTAAAATAAGACTAAAAACTTAACGTTAAAAAGTGACATTTTTATGAGCTCCGAGTCACCGAGAAAACTTGGTCAGATGTTAGCAGCTTACTTCCCTGAGGAGGATGGAAGCGTTACATACGTAAGGTTCAAAAACAACGAACCTGGAATTGCGTACCAAATTCGCAATTACATGACCATGGAAGAGTACGAAAGGTTCCTACAAGAGAAACCAGCTCTAAACAACTCAGAAAAAAGAGTAAAAGTTTAACCGTAATTGTTTATTTTTTACTTGTATGGCAAGCTGCAAGAATGAAGTCGACTATCTCGTCTTTGTCTTGACCAGTTGGACTGCTCTTGCGAGTACGTCTGTTTTTACGGTCTCCAGCTGGTGTCTGACCTTCGTAATTGCGCATGTTCTTGAGAGCTCCAACTGTAAATGGTTGTAGGATGAAGAGTCTCTCAGACTGCTTGAGGTAGTCTTCACGGTCACGAACCGAATCTGTGGTACGAGTCGAATCGGTCGATTTGAGGGAAGAGAGTGAGAGCCTGTCTTCTTCCATTGGGGTAGTAGCATACTCTTTGCGTAAGCGGTTCAGACCTTCCTCGAACTCTTGGTCTCTCTTGATTGAGATTGGAATTGTGGGGCAGGGTTTTGCATAAACATCCAAGGGTTGGGGAAGTAAGGCATAGGCTGAGGAGGAGGGTAGTTCGGGAAGCCTTGTGGTGGGTAGTAACATTGAGGTGGAAATTGGTAGTAAATCGGAGGGTACTTGCTGGAACTGAGGTTGCTGAGGACTGTTGTGGTTCTGCAGCTTTCGGTTCTCTGGTTGGGATATGGGCTCGGTTGGTGGACGTCGGACATCTGTTTGTGGCTTAACCGTCGGAAGGAAAAACCTTTCCTGTCGGAAGGAAAAACCTTTCCTGTCGGAAGGAAAAACTTTTTCTGAAGTTCGACCAAAAGTTCTCAATTTTCGAAAATTTGAATGGTTTACGGACGGACAACTGGAAGAGTTCTTCCTGTCGTCGGGAAATTTTTTTCCAGTTGTCGGGAAAATATTTTCCTGTCGGATGGAAGGACTCGGAATACCAGAAGGATTTGACGAGGCAATTTACCTTATAGAGATAAATGAAGTTGTTAAGCAGTACTTGCGCAGGGTAATGAAGCCCAAGGTCAAGTTCACCACTATTTCTGGAAGGTCTACACTTCAGCTCGAGACTTCGACTGGAATTCCAATTCAAATACCAGACGGGACAGCCTACGATGGCATAAAGGACGCCAAAAGAGAAGCTCTTGTTAAGTTCCTAAACAAACGTCCTTGGATAAAAATACCAAACAAGGAGAACCCCCTACCCCATATGAAATTGGCAATTCAGTCTCTCCTTCACTTCTCGGTCAGCCGTTCTACATAACCTGTGAAGGCGACATCCAACCAGTTCAGTCAACCTTAACGTTTTGAGTAAAAACATTTTTTTTCATTTTTTGAATGAAGCAAGTTAAATTCGTCCCACACCAATCTCAATGGACCGATGAAGAGTTTCAAGCCATGGTTGAAGGCGTTGAGAACGACATAGACGGCGAACTTGAAGGAGCTCAAACCACAATTGCAACCAAAATTGCAGAAGTCAAGGAACAAATAGCTCCACTTAAAGCTACCAAAGCTACTCTTGACCTCATGGATACTTACCGTTTAGAAGTAAAGAGTGGAATAAGACAATTAAAATTAAAACTTCTAAACTACGAAGCTATACTCCAAAAGTTAGCAGAAATGAGAAGACTTTACCAGAGCTACTTACATGTAAGGGACTTACCTTCAAGCAGTCCGACCAAAGATGAATTTTCTGACATTGTCCCAATTTTGTCCGAAAGTCAGCTCAGATGTTTCGAACTGCTCCCAACATATCCAGAATATGAACGTTTGCCTGAACTTTTCCGCAATCTCAAAAAACGTTTTTTGGTTCTCATGTTCGAAACTTTTATCGGAAGAGACAACAAACGTTCAGAAGAAGAACAAGATATTATTTTAAACTTGTTGTATGACTTAACCGTCATAACAAGCTTTTTGAAGTAAAACCGTCATTCTCAAACCACTTCATTTTTTCGATGTCCGAACAAGCACCGAAGCCGAACACAATGGCAGATGTCCTTTCAATGTTGCCAGACAAGCGCCCAGTTCAAATTCAAATTTTGAATTTGAAAGCTCATCTGACAAACACCGTTAAGACTCTCCAAAGTAGTCTTATGACAGAGATGACCAATCTCAAAGCCGATGTCCTCATGAACCAAGCTTCCAATGAGAAATGCCTGAACGATTTCACGGAAACCTTGCGCAATTACGAGAGAGAGAACCGAGACCTTGCCAGACTCATCTACCGTTTCTTCGAAGAGATAGACGCCATCTGGAAGGTACTCGGAAAGGACAGAACATGCAACACCGTACTTCGTGAGTACCAAATTGAAGAAGGAATTGTCGAGGAAGAAGAGGAAGAAAAGAAACACGAAGAAGAAGAGGAAGAAGAGAAACACGAAGAAGAGGAAGTTTGGGCAACCCTTGTTGCCGATGACGCTTACGAAATTTCCCAACCCTACCCATACAAAATCCGCAACAGGGAGACAGGCAAGGTTCTTACCCCAGTCCTCAACAACTTGGGACACTTGAACCTTAACCTTCGGAATCGCGGTTCAATTTCCATGGGCAAGCTTGTCGCAATTCAATGGGTTCCAAATCCAGGCAAGAAGACGAAGGTCAGACACATTGACGGTGACAAGCTCAACAACCGTAAGGAGAACCTCGAGTGGTTCTAAGAGTAAAAAAATTTTATTTTAGGGGGAAACCCCAAGTAAATTTAAGTTTTTAGTTGCGTAAGCGGCTTAAATTAATGAGAATTTGGACAAGTAGTTCCTGACCCCTGAATTGGACTCTTTCGTCATCCCAGTTGCGTAGGAGGTCGTCCCAGAGGAGTTGGTAGAATTGCCAATCCAAGGACGATTTGTCCTCCCAGGCATTGAGGATGTACTGCTCGTAGAGTCTCATGACCTCTGCCTTGCACCAGACACCCTCTCCCTTGGAACGTAAGGCTTCTTCGAAGTGCTCGAATGCGATTGGCTGCGTGACCATCCGAAATGACACTTTTTGTCCGTTTGGTCAATGTTCGTGTCTCGTGCCATAGTCGACGAAAATACAGACAAACAGGTTATATATGAGTTTGAGACCAAGAATGGTGTAACTCGACCTGTCCGATTCAAAGACTCCGAGGGCGACCATGAAATTAAACGGAAATTAGCTAGGAAGGAATATAAAAATTTTTTATTTCATGCAATGTTTTATTTCTGTGCCGTCTTCAAGTATGCCCCAGTACTTACGCTTGGAGAGGACATGAACTTCGGTGAAAATTTTGTCCAATTTGAATTGACCCATCTTTTCACCGACCATGCCCATTTCAATGAGTTTGTTGTACCCTTCTTCGTTCGTCATGAGTGCGTCAATGTTCTCATAGTAAACCTTGACTTTCGATTTGACTTCGGAGAAGAATTTGTTGTAGTTGTCAAGGACTGCCTTTGCGAACTGAGGATAAGACCAATGTTCGACAATAGGTTTTAATGTGGTTACTAAGCCACTTTGACCTTGAGTGAATTCGTACTTCAAAACAAAAGGGGAGAACCTTTCAACAAAGTTGTCGACCTTCTCATAATGTTTACTCTTCATCTCTTGAGGTTTTTTAATGGAATATCCCCATGTCGAATTCATAAGCAATTTGAGTGTCATTGCAAGTTTGGGGTTTGAAGCTTTCCTAATATCATAGAGTTGTTGTATGACTTTTCCAACTGTATAGTTCCTTCCTGGGAACTCACCGTCTTCGTTTGGAATTCCAGTTGGAATATATTGGACAAACCTCATGTATGCAGCGTTAAGGTCGACATAGTATATTTTTTCATCTGAGTCGAACTTGTCGCAACCAATTGGTCCAGTTTGTGGAAATTCAAGTGAGTCTCTTATCTTCTGAGAAACTTCTCCTGTTATCTCATAAACATCGTCGAAGCAACCTGTTTCATATAAAACCTTCTGACCTAACTCAGATGCTCTCCAATACAATTTGACGTCAATTGGATGTCTCAATGGAAGTTTGTTTATAGCATCTTGAAGTTCTTGCAACCTCATTGGAAGTTCTTCTGGTTCAGGTTGGTATCCGAACAATCCAACTCCTTTTGGAAAGTGTACTTCTTTTGTACTAGAACTTTGTCTGGAACAACTTTTGGTCTTGCTAACAATGAAAAGTTTGTTTCGTCTTTTGGTACAAAAGTTTCTGTCAGCTTGTCATCTGGAATTGGTTCCAACAAACCTTTCTCGAAAAGAATGTTAACAGCTCTGACAATGTTGCACTTGCCTTTTCCGAACAATGGTTGTAAGACTTTCGTTCAACATGAAGTGGTTGTGGACAATTACAATCTTCAACCATGGTAAGTCTTTGTCAACAACATAGTCGTCATGTGAAGAACCTTTAGCTGTAGGTATGTTGACTCGGATATTGACATTTGCCAACGGTGCAATTTTTGCCAATTGACCTCTGAGAATGTACCTTGTCTTCACACATGACTCAAGATACTTCATCTTCTCATCTGTAACAAGACCAGAGTTCCTGAGACATGTAAGAATGCAAGGTTCATTGACAATTGTTTCAATTGAATTGTAAATTCCATACCTTGTCAAGTCAATGTCAGACTTATTTATGAACGGGAAGTATCCAGCATGTTGTCTGACTGCTTGAGGTTAGGTTGGTACCATTCAAATTTTACACTTGCAATTCCTTCAATTGCATTCAAAATGTCTGAGTCGGAGTCAAACATTTGTTCTCTCTTTGTAGTCTTGAAAGCGTCAAGAAGTTGTGCGCTGTTGTGACATTGCCATGTGCATAGTAAATGTGACCGTCCAAATCTGTTACGGTTAGTCTGAGATTGTATCCTTTCTTATTTCCGTCTTGTATGGCAGCAAGTACTCCCATGAAGCCTTCTTTGTTCTTTCCTTCGTCAAAGTTTACTGTAAAGGTCGACAGATGTAATTTGACTTCTAACTTCACGTACTTCTCATATGCATATCTTGTTCTTTCCATGGGAGCATGTGCATCTTCACCTTTTCCTTTTTTCCTTCTCAAAGGATGCAACTGTTCGTTATGTTTCCAGTAGAATCTGGCAAAGCCGTCGTGTCCTTCAACTTGCGGTTCACTAACATTGAAAGGCATGTTCATAAGACGTTCTTCTTCTAACCTCTCCAGTCTGTTTGGATAATTGGCGCGCGCTGTTTCCAAGTCCATCTCGTAGGTCAGACCAGCAAGTTTGTCATAGACTTTTATGGGTCTTCCCTTCCTATATTTAAAATTCTTTGAAACTCTCCAACCATATCTTTGCAACTCTGCTTTTATTCTAGCAGATTTTCTATCCATTCTATACGGGGGCATTTTTATAAAAATAAAAAAATGTTTTTTTCTTTACTTTACATAACCGCCTGCTGCCATAAGTCTTTGACGCCAACCCATACCAGCTAATGAAGGTTGACTTGGTTTAGTTTCCAAACTAAACTTTGGTTTTGGTTTATCTTCAGTTTTTGGTTTTCTTCTTTCTATCGTTTTTCGTCACTTTTCGGTTCCTCTGACTTTACCTCACCTGCAGGAACAGTTGTGTCGTCAACATCTTCATAAATATCATATGCCATTTGTTTTTGTTTTCCTTTCAACTTTTTGTGTTTGTTGTAAAGTTTAGAATATTTCGACTCTAAGTCAATGAGATGTTCTATAATGAACTGTTGGTCAGTGAAGTAAACTTTTCCATCTGTTGTCTCGAAAGCTCCTTCAGACTTCAATATTTTTTTGTGAGAGTCTGTTTCTTTTTTGAGATACTAGCCGTTCCATTTCTATGAAAAGTGACTTTGTATAGTTAGGGTTTGTATTTCCAGACCTGGCACTTTCTATTATTGAATTTTTCTCTTCATCTGTAAGTTCTTTGACAGGTTTTGACAATGGTTCTGAACTTTTTTGTTTGTGGTGTCAAATCTACCGTTTCAACTTCTTCGGTCATTTCATCTCAGTAAAAAATTTTAGTTTGGTTTGTTTTCAACTGGTTGTTGTTGTTTTTTAAGTCGGTCTAAAACTTCCTGAGGTATAGGAAGAACTTGACAAACACGTTGTGTAACTGCTGGAAGCCGACAAATCCATCTTGAGCCCATTTGTCTCAATGCTGTATTGTTCATTTCATCTCAGTAAAAAATTTACATTCCCCACGTTTGAGGCGGTTGCGGTTGGTTGTTGTTTACCCACTGTTGTGCATGGTTATATCCTCTGTTAAAGAATCTTTCACCTTGGTCCATATAGTGCCCTGCTTGGTTATAGTAGTCATTTGCTTTGTTATAGTTTCCTGCTTGTCTTCCTACATTGTCCATCCATCCTTGAACTTTTCCTCTTGTTTCAGGATTTGGAATAAGATTTGTTGCATCTCGTGCTACATCCCAACCTTTCTGTACAGTTTGTATAATAGGTTGTGCTTTCTCTTTAAGTATACCTAATGTACTCAAAATCTTCCTTCCAACTCCAAATACACCTCTGGCTATTGTTCCACTGCGGGCAAAAATCTGGATGCACTCCTGCTAATGCGCCAAATAAACCCATTTCTTATGGGTTAAAAAATGACGAATCCAAACAAGGACCCCTATGTTCTAAGGCAACAAAGAAAGCACTCATGATAAAAATCTTTAGTTCAACACCAAATGCTTGGTTTATGGATATCTTGGAAAACATTCCGAGTATAGAGAAGATGGACCACCATACTGGCTAATATTTGTCGGTCAAAACACAAGATACTGTGAAGCCATACATTATGTCCAAAAATATTTTAGATGTGAAAACTGCTTTGACAATATTCGTTGACAAATACCATCCAACAAAACTGACATCTGACTGTGAAAGTTCTTTCAAATCAGATGATGTAAAAACTATCTGCGTTCAAAAAATGTAAACCAATATTTCATTGTCGACCAAAAACCATTCTGCTCTTGGTGTCATTGACAGTTGTATAAAAATCTTAAGAGACTTAAATCAACCACAAGGTGGTGAGGTAGATGAAATGTCATATGACGACAAGTACAGACACTTCTCCATGGCAAAGATGAGACAAGTTTTAAATATTTACAATAGCCGTAAACAAAAAGGTTTGGGAAACCATTCCCCTGAAGAAATGAAAAACAACCCTGACTTAGAGAAAGACTATATATTTAATAGTTTAGTCAAAAGAGACAAACAAGAAAGAATGCCAGGCTTCAAACTTAAGAAAGGTGACAAAGTAAAATAGAAATACCTAAACGCGACCCATATGAAAATACTATTGACTATGAAACAATGGGAACTCGACAGGTACTCGCATTCGTGTTCGTAAAAATAGAAGAAAGTATACAAGAGAATATTATGAAGTTTTAGGCAAACATGGCAAAATGTACAGACTGCAAGCAGAAGATAAAACTACTATTGTCAGACCTCGTTTCAAACTTGTTAAGTTCAAGGTGGTATACTTTCAAAGACAGTTCCTAACAAATATAAGACAACTCCTGACGAATATGCTAAAGAAGTTGAAAATGACGACTAAGCAATTCTATACCATGCGTAAACTGTCATGTAAGGTGGCATGTATTCTTTACTTTGTCCCGTTGTTTGCGTATATCCTGAAACGAAATGTGTATGGTTTCCTTCTCCCTGAGTGTCACTCCAGTAACAATTTATAGCAAACTTAACGTCGTCTTTAACATCATATCCTTTACCTTTTGTCATTCCTGACCAATCCCAATATCTATGCTTATGCCAACCTGCTTGAGATGTACTTAAATCTATGTAGTGACTGTGTGCAGGTAAATTTTCACCTGAAATCGTTTTACTTCCACCTGTTTCCTTTGAAGAGTTTGCACAATACAAAAACCTGTCGACTATTTGTTCCCATGCACCAACACCAAACATTACTTGAGGACCTCTTGCTTCCATAGATGTATAAATAGAACCTACTGGGTTCATTAAATCAAACATATGAGACATTATAGGATTGTCTCTTTTGAACTTAAAATATAGTGCAACTATTTCAGGTTTCTTCTGGTTTGTGTCAGAATATTTTTTATAATATAATCTTATGTTTTCAGGGTAGGTAAAATCTTGACTATAATATTTATTTCTGTCATCTTCATAATAGTATACTATTCTCGTTTTTTCTATTGCATTATATCTTTTATATCTATAATAATCTAAATATAATGTTAGCTTTTGTTCATCTACATGTGGTGTTCTGACGTCATCTCCATAGTCATAATAATATGGTGCTGGAGCTGGGTCAGGCAATGTCATATCTGTCATTTCATAAACTCTTAAATATTTCTTTTGTTCGTCTCCATATAAGTTTAAGTAGCAGTTGTTGTCTAATGGAACTTTAACTTGTGTACCATCATTCTTTTTATAGCTTACATACATTTCATTGTTATTTTTCGGAATGAGTTTACACCGTGTACCATTTTCTAAGGACTGTACAAACTGCCATCTAAAATATTTATTTTCTTCATTGACAGAAAAGTCACCAACAATAGTTTCAATATTTTTTGTTCCTATCAAACTTTGGTATATTTCATTGACATATGTTTTATCTGCTTTCTTTTCAAGGCTAACGTTTAAGTCTGTTATTTCAGAAGATGTATGTGTATGTCCAACGGCACTTTTCCTGTTTAAGGTTTCTTGTAAGTTTGTAATATTTGCAATGGTATGTGTATGTCCAACGGCACTTTTACTGTTTAAGGTTTCTTGTAAGTCTGTTATTTCAGATATAGAATGTGTATGAGTCTTTTTAGAATATTCGTTTTCAGCTCTCGTCACTTCACTTGACATTTTATTGTCAACATATGTTTTGTCTGCTAGTTCAGGATGAGTATGTTCTTTTGTTGCATAAGCATTGTTAGCTCTTTCTTCTTCTTTTGCTATTGCATCGTCTACATATTCTTTGTCAGCTTTGTTGTCAACATCTGTTTTCAAAAGAAGTTCATTTATAGGTTTCTCGTTTAAAGTTCCTTTTGTTGGATTTATACAGACAGTATGGTTCTTATTGTCTTGAAACAGAAACTCATCTGTCATTGGGTTTATTGTCAGTTTTAAGTTTCCTTCTTTCAATGACTCAGATATCTTAGAATAGTTTGAAAAGTTTGTTGTGTTCTTATTTAGAGCTTGCATAATGAGTTGTCGGTTGTGTTGTATTTCTCTCATAGACGCTGTTTCATTTGACATTTTTATTCTAGATAAAATATGCTTCCAATAGAAAAAGAAAATTCAAGAGTTGCTACAACTAAACCATTAGATGAACTTTTTACTAATGTCGGTCAAAAGTTTGAGACAGAGACCGTAAAGCATGAAGGCTATCGTTTTGACTACCCATTAAGATGGCTAAGAGACCCATCTGTCACAAAAGCTATTGGCTTTCGTAGAATGAAGTTTGTGTCTGTAGAAGATAAAAGTTTTCCATTTATTGTAAGGTTTCATATAGATTATATATCTGAAGGGAAACGAAAAATGTGGGAAGAAATTGAGCTAATACAAGTTGACCTTTCATCTTCTCTACAGACTGCGTTAAAAAATATAGAAGATAAAATAAATTCATGTTATGCAAAATATGCTGATGAATATGCAAATACCGAGAGCACACTTTATGTGAGAATTGTATATGACAAACAAAATTCACAAGTGTCATTTCAAATCTACGAAGACAATCCAAAGAAAGACGAACAAATATATACAGAATTCACTGCAATGTCATGGTATTATTTGCAAAGAATGTTAAATCAGAAAGTCGAACTTCCTTTAGCAAATATTTACAGTCGATATGCAAGAGATGAACCATATTTATTTAAAGATGTTTTCGACCCAGCTGCTATTATTGTTCATGCTTCATTTTCTGGCGCCCAAAACTCTTTCTTATGCTTGGCAAATGACTTTTACGAAAAACCTACAAAGTTATATGAACCGCCGAGTGGAAGTATTTCAGACTTTCAAGTATGGTTTACTACAGATGGAAGAAAAAGAATAATTCCATTATACCATGCGTTTTACTTAGAACTTAGTTTCATATACAACTACTATCGAACGGTAAAAATATAATTTTTTAATACGGTTGAGGTGTTGGATTTGGTTGCCAACTAGACTGTGGTGCAGGTTCAGGCTGTTGTATAACAGGAGCTTGTTCTTCTGGTTCAGGGTCTTTAGGTATAATACCAACAAACTGACCTACTCTTTTACCAATATTTTTGACTCCGTTCCAAATTCCTCTTCCTACGGTTTTTATTCCATTCCATATACCTCTTCCAACATTTCGAAAGAAGTTTCCAATACTACTGAAGAAACCCATTTTACTATATGTAAAAATCTAATGTCCGCCTAGTCTCTTACGTTTCCTGTTGAGTTCCATAGCATTCTTTAACTGGAGCTCATACATTCTGTTTCTCCTCTGGTAGAAAACATATTCTGGGTCAACTCCTGTGTTCGCGTCATCTGCATAAAGTTGTTTATATCCCACTTCAGGGTTTGTATAAAACTCTTTCCATCTCATATTTGCATACCATGGTGGCAAACCTAACGCAGCGTCATTTGACATGGCAGTTTGCATTTGTACATCTGTTGGCACTTGACCATAGTTTGCCATTGCAGTTTGTATTCTAACTTCATTTGGAATATTCTCTGGGTTTGGTTGTCCAGGTTGCTGTGCATTCGCTAAGTTCTGTGCGTCCATTTAATATTAGATAAAAATATCTCTTACGAGTACATATGCTGAACATTTGCAGACATTGGTTCATCTTCATATTCTCTATATCTTTCTGCCACGTCAAATAAATAAATGACACAATGGAAAAAACCTAAAACAAGTAGTCCTATTTCAAACCACATTTACTTACCAATAAAATTTCTTTATTGTGACACTTTCTCCAGTTTATAGGACCTCTCTCATATTCTATCTTGTCATATCTAAACTCATAGTCATGTATGTCCTCTAACCATCTCATAACGGTTTCCAAACCACTTTTATCGGATGTAAAGTAAAAGCATGGATGGTTATGTAAAACGTCTAAAGTTTCTAAAGAGTCTCTCAATGTCCAGTCTACTTGGTATTGAAAATCCCATGTGTTATAGAACGGTGGGTCCACCATAAAGAAAACATTTTCCTTGTCTTTATATTTTTCATACAACTCTGTCCAATGACATCTCACAAACTCTATACCCTCAATATATTTTTCTATGTCCTCTTTGAAAACATTTGTATAGTTAAGATATAAAACTTTTGACATAAGTGTTTCAATGTCATGAACTCTTATAGCACCACTATATAATAGTCTAGCAGATATACTATTCCAGTCTATATATTCTGCTTTTTTCAAAACCTCTCTCACAATATTTTTGTTATCTAATGGTATACGTTCCATCTTACCTATAGGTATCTTTTCTTTTAACTCTTTCAATATATTGTTTGTGTCTGGAATATGTTTGAGACGGTCCATATAGTTGTCGAAGTCATTGCATATAATCTTTGAGTCAGGAAATACGGTATGACATAAATGAGATATATAGAAACTTCCACCGAACAAATCTACAAATGTTAGACCATTCGGTAGTTTCTTAAGTTCTCTCAATATAATATCTTTACATCTACTCTTATTTCCAAAGAACGGTAACGGTGGTTTTGTAAAATTCATTTATATATAATAATAAAAATGTTTTTTTCCTGAAAAGTGACAGAAAAGTGACAAAACATGAAACATATATAATTTGTGAAAAGCGACACATTATATAATGTTTTCGACCCAGAAGAAGGCTTCTCCCCAGAAGCAATGGAGGAAGAAGAAGAGTCCTCCGAATAAAAACTTCATTTATACTAAACATCAACATCAGGGCTAGAAGGCACGAAGTGCCTGGAAGCCCCACTCCCTTTTTTTTTTTTTTTTTTTTTTTTTTTTTCAATTTTTAATTGAAAATTGTGTATTGAATGCAAGAGAATTAATAAATTTGAGAACACGTATTAGATGTTCTGCATATATATTTGTATGAATAGTTGGTTTCCAAAGCATTTACCAAATTCAAAAATATTGTGAAAATGATCTGAATCTGCTTCAAACTCGAGTTTACCTGTCTCTATGAATTGCGTGAGTATATGGATTGAATCTTGACATCATTTATTTGGATTTATTTAAAAGATATTTTCCGTTGATGAGATCTGAAAAACAAATCGCGGAAGATTTCATTGTTCGAATGATTTGACCATTAATATCAATATTTAATGTGCCACATTTCCGAGAAGTAGCATACTATAGAGCACGATGGTAATCTCGGAAATGCTCATATCGCCCCAAGCACAATATTTAAGAAGTCTAACTCATATATACAAGAAGTCAGGCTGAATAGATATTGTGCATATGGTTTGCAGAACTCTCATGATATTTAAAATTCATGTTATCCCAAAAAGGTGACACTTTGGGTGTATCGTCCATCCCAGGGATGCAAAAATCACATCACCTTGGATCTATATTTAGGAACAATGTTAAGTATCAAAAAGAAAGGAGGTCTGATATAGACAACATATATCGTTGAAGGTTGAAAAAATCTCTAATATTTGAGCCCAAAATTTCAAATTTTAATTTTTTGAAAAAAGAGGCCACCCGTATGTACGTTTATTTGAGAGGAGGAGGATTATATTTTTGAAAGGGTGAAACATTATGAATATGTATTATTAATATATAATAAAAAAAAAATAATGCACGTTAAAATTTTTCTTTCTTGATTTTTTACAAAATCTACTTAGAATTATGCAAAATATGACTAAATAATTATAAATTTCAAGTTAAATTTTAATTTTGATAAATAATTTAAATTTCAAAATATCAAGTTCAGTTCGACTATGTATGTAGTAATTCCTCAATAAAGTGCCAAAATCCTATTAAAATATATGAACATTTTCAACATTTTAATGTTTTTATTTAAAAATTTGATGGAATATGAGCTTCAAACAATTATTATGTAAATAAAAATAATTAAATATATGTATTTAGTCGTATTACAACCGTAGTAAGTCGATTCTTCCTTTCTTCTACTGAGTTTTGAATTTGATTTCGAATTGTAAAGAGATTCAAAGGGAAAATACTAGCGGATAAAAACTACCTCCATGAAAGGGTCATAATGGACTCAAGTTGTATTTTTTGATATTTTTTGCTTTTCGAGCCTAAATAGGTAGCCAAGATAATGCCTAAAAATAAGGTTCTAAATTCTGAAGTTTACATGATCCTCTCGTGTGCACCCTTCAGAAGTTTGGAAAAAATTATAATTTTCAAGAATTTTTTATTATAATTATTGGATCAAAATGCATTTTATATGCTTCACAATTTTCATTTCAAAATTATATCTTAAATATGCTCAAAAATGAATTGAGGAGTTTACAATTAAAAATTAATGATATTAAAGATGATGATATGAAGCAAATAATTCAATTCAAGCAGCAAGAGTGTTTTGAATTTAAATACGATAGGGACCAAGTTTTTCTTCTTGATAAATCACATTTTCATTTTGACAATCTTCCATTCCCAGATTGTAAACAATTAAGAGAAAAGATCAATTCCCAAAATTTGACAGAAGAAGAGAATCAATTAGTTACAAAGCTTCAAGATAAAGTTATGCCAGGACTTAATGATCCAAATAAAAGGTGCAAAAATTGTGGTGCTGTTCACTATAACACAACCGTTGAAGAAAAATGCTGCAACAATATTCCAAATATCAAGGCTCATTTTATTTCACCAGGTATTCCTCAAGAATTTATTCAAAAAGTGGAACAGACCATTAAGAAATTAAAAAATGATAACATTTCCCGCATCATTAACTGGATGGCCAGGCCCCTAATGCATCAAGCTTCTATCAATAATCCAAATGCACAAGCATCAACCTCTTTTATGAATGGTGTCGCATATATTGTTGATTCAGAAGCAACATTCCTTTTACCAGCTTATTTAATTGCAAATGGATTTGACAAAAGAGGATATTCATTTTACAATTTGAGTCAAGAAGAAACGGTCATTTTGCATGAAATTGTTGAAGAACTATTACAAATGAATCCAAAGATAAAAGAATTCATTTCTTCCAGATCAGAAATCATTAAGTCAAAGACACAAGATTATTTGGGGTTGTGCCATGTGAGGTGAAAATCACCATACACCGATTGGACCTTTTTAAAAAAAGATATGGTGAGTATTTGATTTGTTCCTTGGTATTTTGCACGCAGATATACTAGGGTAATGCCGATCATTTTGTGTAGGAATTACGTAAAAAATTATGACCCAAGTTATTCACATTATAAAATTATATAAAGTGTGTCTAATTTCAATAATATTCATATGACCTTATAGTATGGTACCTATATAATAATAATACATATAGTTTATATAATATCTCAGTTTTATAGTTTGATATCTTATTAATTATGATCAATATGTGTGTATTAGTGTATATTTTACATGGCGCATATAGACTTGTGTTAGACACACACATTTATATATATTAAAATGAAAAATACGCAGATAATAAGGATCTCAAGATGTGATGCCGAGCATCTGCTACTTATTTGGGAGTAAGCAGCAGATGCTAGCATATATGTGTCATAGCAAGTGTATCTATGCTAATAGATTACACTTGCTATGACTTTCCCGGAATCTCAAGATGATTCCGGGAAAAACAGTAATAACCTCTCAAAATGTTCGTTTCAATATCATAAAGCTGAGAAATGGGCTTTGACCTTGAGAAAAGGCCATTTCCCAGCTTTATGATGAATTTTAGTTATCATTGCGAGTGTCTGCTGCAAATCTCGGTTGAAGCAGCAGGCACTCGCACCGTATTCCACGGCAAGTGTATTTATGGTGTTGGAATGCACTTGCCGTGGCTTTTGTACAATCTCGTGATCTTACTGGAGTGAGCGGCAATGGAAGCCAAAACCACTCCACTCAGTACCAGAAAGCTATGAAGGAAGTCCTAACCTAGAGAAAGGGCTTCCTTCATAGCTTTCTGGGTGACATGAGATTTGTAATTGTTGAACATTGAGTATTTTGCAGGCTCTGGCCTTTGCTTGGGCCAGAGCTTCGTATTTGGATGTTCCCAGGGCCGGATTCCTCTCCTGCCGCCCTAGATCAGGACGGCATTTGAGAAAGCCGGCCCTGAGGACAGTAAGCGAAGCCCTGGCCTTTGCTAGGGCCAGAGCCTGTATTTGTATGTCTTTCAGGGCCGAGTTCTTGCGAGACCGTCGACATGATCGACGATCATCGCAAAACTCGGCCCTGAGGATTGTATTTGCAGGCTCTGGCCTTTGCTTGGGCCAGAGCTTCGTATGGGAACTCTCTCGGGGCTGGTTTCCTCTCCGGCCGCCCCGAATCAGGGCGGTCTTTGAGGAAACCGGCCCCGAGGATGGTTTGCGAAGCTCTGGCCTTAGCAATGGCCAGAGCTTGTGATTTTAATGAAGAGCCAAGTTCCTCTCGGATCGGGCCTAATGAGGACGACCGTCGAGGAACTTGGCTCTGAGCTGATGAATTGTAAACTCTGGCCTCGATGAAGGCCAGAGTTTTTAAGGGAATGTTTTGATGGGATGAGCCTATGCTCAGTAAGCTCATCCCATCAAAACATTCGTTTAAAAATTGAATTAAAAATTATCGTATGCATTGAAAAATTAAAAAAATAAAAATGAACAATATTATTATATACTGAGAATAGAATAAATTATCATAAAATTGAATAAAATTATCCAAAAGAAATTGAAAATTTTAAAAATTAAATAAAAAATAACAAATTTCATAAGAAAATTAAGGAATAGAGAAATATTAGATAGAAAGAGTATGTTTATTTATGATTATAAGATTGAAATAATGAGATTTTGAGAGTTTTAAGAAGAATGTGATCTTTATATTTTTTTGGAGGAAGGTTTTACAAGAAAGGAGTTTACAAATGCAGGGTATTGTTCCTTTACCCTGCATTTGTAATCTCCTTTCTCGAATTGAAATTCGATGTTTAACATTCTTTGAAAAAAGTGCAAGCTATTCAAAAACGAACTCAACAAAATACTCAGAAGGATTAGCGCCAACAGGAAGATGATTGAACAGAAAAGGAAGAGCGAAGAACAGAAAAGGAAGATCGAAGAACAGAAAAATAAGATCGAAGAGTTGTATCGATTAATCCGTGGAAATTAAGTAGATAATCATTTATTTTATTTATTTTTATTTTATTTTTTTTTTATTAAAAATTTATATTTATTCTTAATGATTTATCATAGAAACACATATCATAAAACTATGATGTCACTTGTTGACTTAGTTATGTTAAAATATCGACTAATATAAATGATAATTTGTTTTATGATTATCATTACATTGCTCAATAAACGCGATATGAAATGAAATTCCCGAAAAAGTTTGAAAAAATAAAAAGATGAATTTAATATAACAAAAATTACAGATATATTCTCTATAAACAAATAACAAAGGATTTATAGCAGAGCCTGGTTCAATGTTGGCCTATTATTGAAGCTATTATGTCTGCGAGATAAATCATATTGAGATTTTTGCTTCTTTTTATCTCCAGATGGACTTTCGTATGCAGCTCTGTTTGGCCGACAGAAGTAATACATAAGGAAACCGCAAATGATCGTAAAGAACATGATTGCGACTAAAATAACTGCAAGACCTATTTGAAGAGGTTTCATTTGACAGGAGTAGGATATATTATGTGACGATTCATTAATTTCAACAATTCCGTTGATATTGTAGTGAGTTACTTTGTTATACGTACAAACTGAAGATTGACCTTCTCCTTTAATGTTTATAACCTGCGTAGTTAGGTTTATGTAATTTCCATGAGGATAGCCTGTAATAAGGAAGCCGTTTGTTACAGAAATTGAGCAAGTAGAGTTGGCTCTGCATTGTACAGCTTTTCCTCCACCATTTCCGTCATATTCTTCAACAATACATCTTGTCATGGGATTATCACTCTCGCAGTTGGTGATGACACGAGAAACATAGCCAGGTTGGAAGAAAATGAAACATAAATTATCATCTATTGAATAGAATGTTGAAGTAATCGAAATATACGTTTCTAGACCAAGGGAATAAGAAATATCGCTGCATGTTCTTGGATCAATTTCGAAAATATTCATATCATATGAGGCTGAATTTGATTTAAATACGACTGAATCTGCTTTAATTTCATAATAATTGCTCTGGTTGATGTTTTTGAATGTATTTGTAGATGTGCCATTCGTAATATCGAATGAAAAATCTGAAAGATTTGAATTTTCAACAGAATAGTAAAATTTCAGATTAGAAATATTATAAACAAGCGGGTGATCCTTGGTTAGTGTAACTCTCGTGAATCCATATGATTGTATAAATGAATAAAGCAAAAAAAGCATTTTTGCCACTTTTTGCAGATTTAGATCTTCGACAAATTGCATAAACACTCATTTTCAATCCCTGTAACTATGATAACTTGATTATTTTGACTATATTATATCATATATCGTAGAATTGCAGAGTTTGATCATTATTCATGAAGAGCTTCAAATCTAATAATGATTATTTTAATATTTTAATTCACAAACAATGAAAGATAAAGATAATTATAGTTATTTTTAATGCAGACTAGCCGTTCTTACTTTTTCAAATGATGTCGAAAAAAAAATTGATGTCGAAAAAAAAATTGGAAGGGGATATCTCCCTCAAAAATTAGTACGCCATTTGGTGTAATGGATGTTTTCTTTTGTTTCCAATCCCCTCAATATGGAGAACCTAAATTGAGATCGCAAATTTGATTCAATGAAACCAACAGATCGAAAATTTTTTAGGAAAAAGTGACGATTTTCTAAATATCATAAATGAGATCGCTTAAAGTTGTCTTAGTTGGAGACACCAAGGTAGGAAAGAGCTGTGTTCTTAGCCGCTTTGTTCAGGGCACCTTTGACCGTAACATGCCAGCCACAATTGGCGCTGCTTTCTTGACCAAAGTAATTACTACTTCCTCCGGTCCGGTACGTCTTCAATTATGGGATACTGCTGGACAGGAGAAGTTCCGTTCTCTCGCACCAATGTATTATCGCTCATCATCTGTCGCCTTGATGGTTTACGACGTCACTCAGAAAGAATCGTTAGATAGCTTAGATGACTGGGCCTCTGAAATAGCAGATAAAGCTCCCCACAATATAAAATTCGTAGTTATCGGTAACAAATGTGATATGACTGAAGAAAGAGTCATATCTACAGAAATGGGTAAGAATGTAGCACAACAACTTGGAGCTACGCTATTTGGAGAAACTTCAGCCAAAACAGGCGAAGGGATTTCAGAAATCTTCTCGAAAATTGCTGAGTTAGACATTAATCAAGAAGAAATTATCGAAACAACTACAAGAGTTCAGAACCGTAACAGTAACGGCGAACAGGGTGGCTGCAATTGTTAATTATAATATGAATTTAATAAATTAATAAATAACATTCTTTTCTGTACAAATAATAAGTTCACGTTCAAAAATCTCATTCAAAAATATCAAAATGTCAATACTTTTATTGATTTCATAAAGATTTTTTTAGTTGTAATTTTTTTTAGTATCCTTAAGCTTTCTTGATTTATTTGTTGCTATGTTAACCCAGAATAAACAAAATTTCCTTTTCAGAGTAAAGTCATATGAAGGGTGCACCCGTATGTACGTTTATTTGAGAGGAGGAGGATTACCCTCTCAATTTTGAGGGATTCGTTAGTTTATTTTCTCGATGAATATGCAATAAAATTTGATTTTTACCTTATCAATATACTTCATATAATATACACATGTTCATGTATAAAACTTTTTTGCAAAATCCTCAGGAATTAAGGGATTTTTGAATTTTAAGAATTTTTTTCGAATTTTTTCGAAAAAAAAATATTTTCAGAACAGCCTTAACGGCTAAGATTTAGGAACAATGTTAAGTATCAAAAAGAAAGGAGGTCTGATATAGACAACATATATCGTTGAAGGTTGAAAAAATCTCTAATATTTGAGCCCAAAAAATTTCAAATTTTAATTTTTTGAAAAAAGAGGCCACCCGTATGTACGTTTATTTGAGAGGAAGAGGATTATATTTTTGAAAGGGTGAAACATTATGAATATGTTAATTATATAATAATATGTATTATTATAAAAAAGAAAAAATAAATCACGTTAAAATTTTTCTTTCTTGATTTTTTACAAAATCTACTTAGAATTATGCAAAATATGACTAAATAATTATAAATTTCAAGTTAAATTTTAATTTTGATAAATAATTTAAATTTCAAAATATCAAGTTCAGTTCGACTATGTATGTAGTAATTCCTCAATAAAGTGCCAAAACCCTATTAAAATATATGAACATTTTCAACATTTTAATGTTTTTATTTAAAAATTTGTTGGAATATGAGCTTCAAACAATTATTATGTAAATAAAAATAATTAAATATATGTATTTATTCGTATTACAACCGTAGTAAGTCGATTCTTCCTTTCTTCTACTGAGTTTTGAATTTGATTTCGAATTGTAAAGAGATTCAAAGGGAAAATACTAGCGGATAAAAACTACCTCCATGAAAGGGTCATAATGGACTCAAGTTGTATTTTTTGATATTTTTTGCTTTTCGAGCCTAAATAGGTAGCCAAGATAATGCCTAAAATAAGGTTCTAAATTCTGAAGTTTACATGATCCTCTCGTGTGCACCCTTAACGTCCTGGAGGGAAAATTTATTTTTTTAAAATAACGTACAAAACCATGCCCTACCTTTTATCACTTAATACCACTCTTTCTCCTATCATTTATCTGCCATATTTGAAAAAAAAGGCGACATTTGATAGAAAAACAATCAGTAACGATCTAGAATTCTATCATACATAAGATCTAGAAGTCAACCTTTGCTTTCTTATTTTGATTCGTTTGATAGGAATATAGTGCACAATGATGTCAAAATAATTATTCAAAACTATTTTAAATGCATAAAAAGATAAATAAGTTTTTACATCCTTAAATGCCTTTAATATTTATGTTTATTATTACTCTAAAGAAAGTAGAAGAATATGGTAATCAGTGGAATGATAACTAGAAACTATTTCAATTGTTGGAATTATATTAATAGTTAGTTAAAACACAGCCCTTTAACAGTGTCAGTGCACAAAGAGCCAAAAAATTTGGGGTGTTTCGCCGACATTTAGAGACTATGATTCCCTGGATCATTGTAGGCCAATGAATGAAAAGTGTTTAAAATGTATTTTTTTTGAATTTATATTACTATATGCAGTGAAATGATTTAAGATAACTAATTTAAATCATGACGTTTTTGACTTCTGGCTTGAGATTGATGTAAATGGCACATGAGGTGTGCTTGGAAATACATTTATCTACGAAGAATGTATTAATGATTATTGTAACCAGGAATCTTTCCTTCACATTAAATTTTTTATTGTTGTCAATTTTTTTTTCACCAATGTTATTCCGACGAAATTCAAGCGGGTCGGATACATTTATTTTTGATGATCAAAAGTATTTTAGTATCCAAAGCATTGATGAAAAGATATCAACACTATCACAAGCATTAACATCATTTATCGTTTTTTATCAAAAAAATCCACCAAATCCAAAGTACAAAGACAAGCATAATGAAGCTAACTCATTATATAATGCCTTTATCACCGACTTTCACTTGATATTACAAAACTACATTTGCGAGATAGTGACATCTATACCTTTTTTTCGGCAAGTGATTGGAGATCTTCCCAATACACCTAAGTTGTTAGAACTCAGTCAGATAATTATTGGCCAAATCCGCGAAAAAACAATATTTTCAGAAAAATCAATCTCTGCCTTTCAATGTTTATGCACCGTTGAATCATTTTGCGACGAATTTCTCAATATAGGAAGATTTACTGAATTGTTTGTCGATTTTATCAAATCAAACCATTATAACGAACTTTGTTCTTTATTAATCTCTTTTCAAACTGATCAATTCATTTCTTCAATAAAAAAGAAAGATGCAGCTATTACAATTTTCCCTGTCCTTAATTTTATCGTCGGAATTCAAGAGACAGAAAACATCATCCCAGAAAACGCTTTTTTGCACATAATCACATTCGTTTATAATGTTTTCCAGCTTTCATTTAATGTTACAGATCTACAACTCTTAGATAATGATAATTTCTTGCACAAACAACACCTTTTATTAAAATCTTATCCTTTTTTCAAAATTACCAAAATATTTCAATCATTAGGTGAGCAGGATAAAAATTATCCAATACACCCTATTGTTTTGAAAATTTATTGCGATTTATTTTCATTATATGGAAATGATCTCGAAAAACGAACGGATTTATTAAATTACATTGCAGAAATATCATCAGTATACACAGAAGATTACGCAAATGAAATAAAACCTCGAAACTGGTTTTCACAAATTATTTTAACTCATTTGCCATTATTTAACGCATTTACAACCATTCTAAAATGTGTAGCACATGTTACCCCCCAAAATGTTACAGAAACAATCAATTTAATGTTTGGTTTAATTTCATTTCCTATAAAAGATGGAATTTTGTTTGATGATATCATGGAATTCTTTTTTAAGTTGATTACAGAAGACAAAATATCACAGAAAGATTTCGGAGATTCTAATTTCATCAAAAAAATTATTTTAAATTCTCCTCCAAAAGATTTAGCGTTAAAACTTGAACAGTCAAAACCATTTCAATTAGTTTTCAAGTCAGTATTTGATATTTACAGGATAGGAGAGCATTCTCCACAGCTAATTGACAAATTAATAAAATGTGTAGAAGAAAATTACAAATATCAATTCACTGATTACGTTACTGATATCATGCAAACAAATTATAACACAAATATCCTCAAATATTTCATTGAAAACTTAGATTCGAAGTATGTTCCCGAAATTTTTTACCAAATTCTATCATTTGAACACATAATTGACACAATCAGGATGTTCAGAGATGGAGACTGCTTCTCAATCGTTCAAAGATGCCTAAATAAAGGAAATTGTTGGATAATTCCATTTTTAACCTTCATTAATACTATTGTAATGCACGAAAACAATCATTTCTTTGATGATTGGGTTATTTTACAATCAAAAACATCTCCTATCTTCAAAGTCCAAAAAGAATACATCCAAGATTTGGTTTTACCTCTTATTCCAACAGATCCAATACCTATTCCAAGTTTGGTACCACTATGTGACGAATTCACAACACATTCCAACTACAATCTCTATCTTTTAGGTGCTTATGCCCTCCCAATTTACACAAAACTCGGATTCCAAATAGACAAGATACCAAACATCAAACTGATAACCAATAGATTTGTCAGATTGACAGATTTCGAAACAATTCTTGACAAAAATGTCAGAATTGTATCTGAACTACTAATGCAACCAGTTGATGACTTTCCTATATTTGAGTTCTTTTCAGGTCATGGTGCTGGATGGCTGGAACCAGACAATTCTCCAATTTACACAATGCTATCATTCAATATTAGATTTGATGAACAGTCTAGAGAAATCTACGGATTCTTAATGTTTAACAATATAATTATTTCAATACACAATGATCAACTAATTGCACCTGATGGAAAATCTGTAAAAACAATTGAAATAGGAAAGTGGTACAATATCATTTTGCTGTATAACAAATCATCTAACACGATATCTTTCTACATTGACAAGACTATTTTGTTTTCAGTTTCATCACAGGAAAAAGGAATTCTTTTGCAGACAATAGGAAACAGAGAAGTTCCAGCAATTATGATGTCAGTTTCTAATAATGTTTTTGGAGTTACAAAACCAATGAATGAATCAGAAGCATTAAATATCAAAATCCCTAGTACTAGTAATATTCTTTTAAAACCTATGAAATCAGTTGGTTTAGCACTCTATAATGCGGCTAACTCTCTTTATTCAAATGATCAAAATATAATGAGATTGTTTGAAAGACTTGGAAACTTCAATCAAAGTAACAAAGATGACTATATTAGAATAATTGCAATGATCCCAGACATATGCAAGATTGATTACGAAATGTTTTTCAAACATTTCGTCAACATATTAAAAGAAATGTCGAATTTCTGTGAAGTTGGATGGACAAAAGAATTTGCATTGTCAATTTTTTGGGTGAAAAACCAAATTTTGAGATCAGAAATTTTCATTAATGTGTTCAATGACTTCGAATTCTGGTCCACAATGCCGTATCAAAGTCTCATCGAGTTTCTAGAAACTGTTACGAGTTTTATTTCATCTCACAAAGACATCTTGAGTTTTGGGAAATTGAACCAAAACAATTTCTTCAGACAACTGATTTATTTGATTTTTGCAGTACAAAATTCAATGCTTTACAAAAACTTGATTGATTTTTATGTTTATTTCCTTCAATTTTCTCCAACAAACAAGAAAATGACAGCACAGATCGTCAGATCATCAAATGTTTGGTCATTAAGTAACTCAATGGATTTGATTGACAATCCATTGGAACCATTTTGTCTAAACTTTTCTCATCAAAGTGAAAGACAGAGTTATTTTGTACTAAAATTGTTAGAATTTGATGACAAAACCATATTTTCATTGAATGATTTACTAAGTTTGTCATTCACAACAAACCAAGAATGTTCTTTGAAAGCATTACTTTGTTTAATTCAAAATGGATTCGACCAAATGTTTTTGGAACAAAATATTTCTTTGTTGAATTTATGCTTCCAAAGATTTCCATATAATTTACAAATATGGAATTACATATATTCCAAACTATGTGACACAGAAATAGATATCACAAAACAATACGAAAAATTAGTAATCAAGAACCATACTTTTATTTCATCAATAATCTCAATGATGATTTCGATTTTCAAAAAGTCAATTCAAAGTAATGCACAAAAAGTGGATAAATCTTCAGAACAGGAAATAAATAAATCAGAAAACGCTAATAAAAATGATGAAAACTTGCAAGCTTTTAGTTTTGTAAAAGAAAAATTTCTCTTAGTGTTTAAGAATTCATTAAATTATTTCACGTCCCAGTATTTATATTCATTTATTGATTTAATATCAGGAGGGGCAACTATTATGCCTGAAACAGTATGCGAAGAAGTTAAAATACCAAAATCAATTAAACTAAATAAAAGTGAAATGATTTTGGTGAAACCACATATTGCAGACATTTACAAGAGATGGTTATTTAATGTACAAAGAATTTTAGAAGAGAGGTCATTTAAAGGTGATTTATCAGATGATTATTGCGAATTCATTTCTGATTTTTTAGTCAGTTTAGTAAAAGAACAATGCGGAGATTGGTCATCAAAATCACCAAGAGCAATTTACATCATATGTCAGTATTCTGACTTCAAAATACAAGAAAAGTTTTTCGTGAAATATTTGGACGATATTGGGAAATCCTCCAAAAAAGTTCTTATGGCATTGGCAGATTCTTTGGCTATTTTGGCAAATACAAAAATAGATAAAGTCAAAAATTCACTTTTGCCAAAGGAAGTTTTAGAATTTTGTCAGAAAAACGAGAAAATGTCAAATATATTTATCAAATTTTTAATTTTAATTTTCCCATACATTGATAATGATTTGTATTTAATAATGTACTTGATCAAACCAAATATTAACAGCTTAACAATAAGTCAAACTTTATTATTACTCCAAAATTTAATGAAAAGAGAAAGTTCTCAAAGTATTGATGAATTTTTGGATTTGGTTTTGAAGAGAGCGAAGAAAGTTGTTTATTTCACAGGCACATTCACAGACGAGCAAAGTAGGCTCGAAACAGCAATAAAATTGAACGAGGATCTCAGAAAAATGGAAAATATAAATAATATTTTAGAAAAATGTCAAATTTCAGAGAATTTAGAAATTCCAGAGAAAATTGACATCAATTTTATTGATGTAAAAAGATTGATACAGAATTTATACAGAATTGTATCAAAGAATGCCATTTTTGTTTGGTACAATCTCAGAACATTTTATTTGAACTTAAATCATTACCTGAAAGAACAGGAAAAATTTATATGTTTGAAGAGTTACAATTCATACCAATCAATGTCACAAAAGAATGAAATACTGTCTTATCGAATGTCTCCATTCTGTTTGCCAATATCTTGCCCATGTTGTATTATTCCTTCGCCTTTTCCAATTTATACTCCTTCGTCAGAAACTCAACCTAATATTGTCAGTCCTAAAACAACAATGTTTGGATTGATGGCAGACTTCGATATCAATTTAGAAATGTATGAGTATCTTCCTCAGAAAATGTTCAGGGTTTCTGGTTTGTTTTACACAAGAGAATCAGACCTTTTGAATCTTTTCTTGTCAATTTATGGCGATTTTAATTTTTCAACCAATGGAAGATTGATTAGATTGGATACAAAAGTTCCCTGTGTCATTTTTACATCTGCAAAATCATTGACTATACTGACAGGTGCTCAATTAAAAGAGGATAACATTTTGTCACTTTTGCCAGTAACTCCACAGAGTTACACAACACTTTTAGAATCAGCTTTTCTCAATGAATACGGCGAATACGGAATGTTCTGCGGAAGAATTGTTTTAACTATTAATTTACAAACTTTATTAACTGTTCGACCGTTTATTTATTGTTGTCACCTTTTCTCATTTGAAGTATTTTCTGCCACTGCTGGAAATTTCATTTTAGTTCTTGATAATTCCATACAAATTCCAAAATTAACACAGAATTATGAAGTTCAAAATTTAGAGGAAATCACAGACAAATGGGTTAATGGATATATATCTAATTTCGACTATCTTTTGTCTGTAAATTACTTCGCCTTGAGATCTTTCGTTGATTTGAGCTCTTATCCAGTTTTCCCACGAATTGTTTTGTCATTCAAAGGCCAGAAAGATGAACAAATTCCAATGCGCGATCTATCTAAACCAGTACAAATTAATACTGATTTTGATATTTCAGCAAAGAAATTGATGTCGAGATTCTCAATGCAAAAGTTTTTCCACGCAGAAAATGTCTCTAATCCAATGATTGTTTCCTCTCTTTTGGTAAGAATCATTCCATTCTGCAGATATCAGTGGTTTATCAATGAAGGATGGGATGCAGGTGATAGAAACTTTTTATCAATTCCTTTTCACTTGACAATTACTGCAAAAACAATGTACGAATTGATTCCAGACCATTTCATAACTCCTGAAGTTTTTGAAAATGTAAATAGATTTTATCTCAAAAATGGAACAAAATTTGATACATTGTTACCAAATTGGTCTGATAGTATAACAAATTTTGTTGAGAAACATCGGTCCTTTTTGGAGAAAAATTCGACAAGATTAGAATTAAATAACTGGATAGACTTAATTTTCGGAGTCAAAAATTCTTCAAAAGACGATTATAATATCTTTAATCCGTTTAGTTATTCAGAAAATGCAGATTATTCTGACAAGCAAAAGCTCGACCAACAACAGAATTGGACAGAAATGTGCGGCCAAGTTCCTAAAAAAGTTTTCAACGAATTACATAAAAAGGCTAATTTTGTTGGAAAACAAGATTATATCGGTTTGTCTTTGGTATTGAATTCACCAGAGTATTCAAGAAAAATTCACATTTGCAAGCAGAGATGTATTTTAGAAGAAAACAATATTTGCTTACTAACTTCAGAAGATTTTGCAAATGCATGTCACATTTCTCAGTCAAAAAACGGTTTATTTGTTGCTGTCACTTTTTCGATTTCATTAGTCCGATGCTTTATGAGATCAAAAGATGGAAATTTGCTTAGTTTATGTTGTTTGAGAGTGACAGCTCCTTTGAAAACAGAAGTATGCGAAAGCTGCATGATTGCAGTAACTATTTGTGAAGACAAAATTGTTTTCTGGAGTATTTCGAGTGGTTCAATTTTAAAAGAAGTAAAACTTGACAACTTAAATGCATTAACTATTGACAATGATTTAAACTTAGTTTTTGTTTCTTCTGGATCTAAGATTTATCAATTCACTATTTCAGGTACATTTATAAGGCTGTTTGAAAGCAATTCTTTAGTTAGTTCAATTTGTTCTTTTGGATGCACATTTAGCTTTGAAGAAAGAAATCTCGCCGTTGGATCAACTGATGGAATAGTAAGAATTTATGTTTACAAGGATGAATTAAATCAGTTAGAACAAGTTAGAAAAGAGAGAATTTCAAAATGTCCGATAACAAGGTTGATTTCTGACCCATTTAATAACAATTTATTTGTGTTTGATACACAATCGATTTTCACTTCTTTAGATTTATAATCTTATATCTATATCTATATTGTATAATTAGAACTTCTTGTTTATATTCTTAAAGATCATTTTTTGAAAACAGTTGGCATTCAATATTATATTAAAAAATAATGTTTGTAAATCATTGAGAAATTTTGTTAAATTTATATTCTGTTCGAATAATATTTCAAAGGTGTACCTGCCAATGGACATGACTCATCACTGAAAATTAGCAATAAACAACAGAATCGAAGGCCATATTATACATGTATAGTTAGAGAAATTGTAAATTCATTCGAGGTAAATTTCAAAATGTATCTGCTCTTATTTATCTCTTGGAGAACTCATGAAACAACGAAAGATAAAGGATAAACTTCTGTTCTTCTCTATCACTCCCTTAGTTAAATCTTTGATCAACGAGATTATCAATATTACTTGAAGGGTTAAAAATATAAAGGTAGAGTTATGAAAATTAACAAATTGGTTTACAAATAAACAATAAAAGGAGTATTAATTGGTATCTTGACCGACAACAATGGTATCGGGAGGTTGAAAATCTTTATCTGGCGAATCATGCTGCTCATCTTCAACTTGTTTGCGAGCAAGTTTCATTTCATAGAATAATTCATGAATAAACTTTAGAGGATCATCTGGCTTATTAATTAAGACATATTCCATGATCTCATTGACTATAAACTTGAGTTGTGGATGGGATGCAATATATCGAAACACATCATCCTCATTCATTGAAGGATCCATAGGGAAAACAAATTGTGCAACACCAATAAGCTTACCTCTTGGTACCTCAGGTGGATCGTTCTTCCTTCTACGTTTGTTTCTGACTTTATTTCCGATTGTAAATTTAGGTTGAACTGTAAGTTCAGCATCAAAGTTTGGATTGTAAGTTCCTGGTCCTGGAGTTGTAGATCCAGGGAAATGGTCTGTGTTTCTTGTCGTTTTGCTGACATAAGCTGGTTTTGTTTTTTCATAAGTGGGATTGTAATATCCTGGACCTGGAGCAGTTTCTCCTGGATTCCTTGTTGGTCTTATTGGCTCTATCTTGTGCCCTTTAGAAGTTAACGTAGATGGTGGAATAAAAGAAGGACCTGGAATGTCTTTATCAAAAGAGAAATATTCCTGGTGTGAAGTTTTTGGTATAGTTGCTGGTGCTAATGATGGGAAAATACGATAATTGATGAAATCAATATTGGCGGTATCAGTTGCTCTTGGTTTTTCTACTGTTTTCGAAATATGATGATGTATCTTTCTTGATTCTCCAGGATCTGTTGGATCATAATGTCCAGGACCTGGAGTTTGATCTGGAAAAACAGATTTTGGACGGCTACATCCAATAGCAATCTTTGGAGCATCCTTCCCAAATGTACTAATATTGCATAGGAGCATTTCTCCTGTTGGGCGTTTATAGGATAAAAGTGATAAAGTATTTCTTTTCATTGTTTTTGGTGTTTTCATTGGTGATACTGGTTTAGGTTTGAGATCAGTCACTGGAGCTGTTTTAGCAAGAGGAGTTTCGCCCCAATGATTATTCATCCTCAAAAAAACGTACCAAAAAATGTGACAAAAGAAATCTTTTATCGTCGAAATTGCAAAATTAGAGTCTGATAGTTAGTAGATGGTTAAACAGCAGAAATGAAATTCGTGTCATTCGAGTACAAGTGCTTCTGGCGATATTTGTTATTTGTTATTGCTCTCGTTGACTATAGTACTACACCCTAAACCTCCGATGGTTAGGGGTGTAAATTTGCCCGAAATGGGCAATGTTCATTACGAAATCTCTCATTCGATGCGAGACTTCGTCATGAACATTGCCCTAAAGCACTCTTAACTCTCTTTCCTGGTTCTCAAAAGGCCTAGGATTCTGAAATTAATCGAATAGAGTAGAGTTCTTCCGAAGTCTCCCATTTGATGAGAGACTTTGGAAAGACCCTTCCATAGTGTAATGTAGTTGCGGTGCTTGGCCCACAAAAAGCGAGAGAACATGTCTGTGATTCCTTTGTGCTGAAGTTATCTGGATTTTCTTTCTCATTTGAGGAAAATCCAGAAAACTTCAGCACAAGTTAATGAAGATGTGGTTCTCTGGCTCTTTGTCAGCCAGAGAACAAATTAAAAGTTTAATGCATGAGTAGCATCGGTGCACGCCTACTCACTGCAAATTTACGTTATTTTATTACTTTAGTAGTGTATATTACGGGTTGTGTGACTTTTTTCGTAACCGAAAGAATTCATATAATATTGAACGATTTTGTATCATTTTTTTTACATATGAAGTTAAAAAAATGTATGATTCTTATGGTTTTTATTCTTACGTTTTTGAATGAATCAAGATTAAAAAAATTGTAAGACATTTACACTCAGCCCAAACATAAATCATTAAAAAAATTAACATTGTTTAAATCCTGAATGGAATCAATGGAGTCATAAACTTTAAAAAGAAATTGAAACTAATGATTATTTGAATAAAAAATAAACTTTAAAAATTCATGTCTTACATTTTTGAATAATTTATTTTTAATTCGTAAGAAATGAGCGTCAAAACTAACGATGTTAAAAAATTAGGATTCACAAATAAGGAAATAAAGGATATATTAGAGGAGGCGGGTTATGAAGTTGATAAATATTATTTAAGAAATTGTCAAAAATTCGCGGAGTTTTTAAATGAGTTTGATTATGATGGAAAAATGAATAAAGATGATGTTATAAATTTCTTATATCCCACATCTAAAGAAGAAAAACCTAAAGAACCTGATGTTTTCCCTGAATATTATGAAGAACGGATTAAAGATGATGAATATGATGAAATTGAAAGACTGAAAAAAATAAGAGATGAAATAGATGAAAAATTAAGGAATTAAGAGAAGTTGAAAAATATAATGAAAATGAAGTAGAGGGTTTAATGAATATCCCAGCTTCAGAATCAGAAGTTCAGAAATCTCATGAAGAAAGATATAAAAATTATGTTTCAGAATCAACACAAAATTTATTAGATGGTGAATAGATGAAACACTTTCAGAAGAAGGTACTAAATTTATTCGTAAACATAAGTTACAATTTATTGATAATGAAGAATACCCTGTATCTTACTTTCACCACCTTTAGATTCCAAAAAATTCAAAAAAACTCTTAAAAACGTGACATATGCAACTAATACGATTAAGAAAGAAGATCATGATATTTACACAAATTATTATTTAAATAAATGCACAGGTGTTGATAAAGTTTTTGATTTATTAGATAAAATATCAAAAGAAACCATTGGAACATATAAAATTTTGTGTGATTGTGGTTTCATTATTGAATACTAATAATGTTTCATATGAAAGAACAGCACCGAAGGAAGACGAAGTTGAAAGGTCTATACCATTCGTTATTAAGAACATAAAAGATATGAAAACTTATAAACATTATATTTATTCATTTATTTCAGAAAAAATGGAAGCAACCCATAAAACATCTTCTCATCATTTTATAGCTATTCATACATTCCTTTTCAAAGTTGTGAAATTGAATAAGACAGGAATTAGATTTAATGTATCAGGGTACACATTCTTGAGTAAATTAAAATGTATTCGTCACGTCGCAGATGATAAAAATTTATGTATTCTTAATTCATTTTATGGGCTTTAAAAAAAATAAAGTTTATTTTTATTCTTACATAAATGAACAAAAATGGAACAGCTAAAATGAATGATAATCAAATTAGAACAGAAGGTAGAAGGTTATTTAAACGCTTCTATAACATTCCTGATGGTGTTAATCCTAAAACTCGTAGAAGCTATTTAAATGAAGCAATAGATTCATATGAAGGGTTTGACATTTCATCAGAAAGTGAGAGATTAGCGAGAATGTTAAATGTTAATATTGATTTCTATTATTGTGATCCTCAACCAGAAGACGTGGACATAAATAAGGTAGACTTTCCATTAGTGGAATCAATAATGATAGATCCAGAATTTGAAACAGTAAATATTTATTAACACAGAGTCCATGTGGAAAACTTCACGCTGACAGAATAACAGACGTTGAAGCACTCACCGGCTATAAAGTTTGTCCATATTGTAAAGAAGAAGTTTATTCTATCCGTGATGATCCAGAAAGGAAAAACCAAAGAAGATTTTTAAAGCATTGTGAGAAATGTAAAGAAAATAATGGAAGATTAATTCAAGACGTTCAATTGCAAAAGACCCAGCAACCATATGCACCACATATTACGAAACAGAAGATATATCAGTGGTTATTAGCTCACAATTTGCAGAATATTATAAACCGACAAGATATTATATTACTTTTGACTTTGAAACATTAGAGACTAAAGAAGAATTACAACTTTCTGAGTGTGCAACTTTGAACGCTTACTTAAAACCATTCATGGTATCATCAACGGTTAAATTAAATGATAAAACATATACGAGGAATTTTTGTTTAACTTCGAGTGATTCTTTTATTTCTGACTGGATTGAATTTTTATTTTCAACCTGTTCATTAGTTGCTAAATCAAATATGAGTCAATACAATGAATTAATGAAGCCGCAAACGGCGGGGACTTTGTCCCATACATTAAATGAAAAACAGAAGGAAGCGTTTAAAGAACTTCTAGATGAGGAATTCAATAAAGTGAATATCATAGGTTTAATTCGGGAAAGTTTGATTTAAATTTAATTCTTCGTGATTTAAACACTGCAAAATGGAAAATAAAATCAATGCTGGGTTCATCTTCACAATTTAAGCAAATCATTGTAAAGAAAACAAACGTTCCATATGAATTGAGATTTATTGACATCAGAAATTATATAGCGGTGGGACATTAGACCAATTCACTCAAGATTTCGGAAACAATAAATCACGTGTTAAATCCTTTTTCCCTTATCAATTCATCACGTGGGAAAATTACGAAGAAGAATTATATAAAGTGGAACCATTCACTCAAGATTCATTTTATTCAGCATTAACTCAAGAAACTATATCAGATAGTGATTATCAAATATATCTCAATGATGCTAAAAACTTTAAGAATAGATTAGAATATTTTATTCATTATTGCAATAAAGATGTTGAAATTATGATTGACCCAATCGATAAAATTATTGAAGAAACATTTGTTTATAAAATTGACACGCTTCATAATCTTTCTTTATCATCGAATGCTTCAATGATTCGTTACGCTTTAGCATATAAAGACTTTAATCCTAATGAAAAATATCCTGAGGAAGAGATAGAATCAAGTTTTGAATTAACGAAAAAGTATTGGAAATATAAAATTGAATCATATAAGAAACAAGATGAAAAAGCAAAAAGAGATACTAAAAATAATGTTTCAATGGATGATTTTCAATACTATCACGATTTAATCCTTTCATCTAAATGCAAAATGTGTGGTAAAGCGTTTACATATGCTAATAAACCAACATTGGATAGAATCGATAATGAAAAACCACATACTAAAGAAAATTGTCAGTTAATGTGTTGTTATTGCAATGTCGTAAAATCAAATAAAGATGAAGATGTTCAACGTTTAAGAACCAATTTAAGAAATTATGCATTAAAAAATAATTTACCAATGACTTTAGATTCAGTTGAAGCTTATCACATTCTCCGTAATGGAATTACTGGTGGTCTATCAAATGTTCAACATAGAGTAAATCTTAAAGGAATCACGCACATTAATAAACTTTCATATAATCCAGAAACTAAAACTGTATCAAATGAGGACACCACCAACATTATGACTCATTTCGTTGGTGTTGATTTTAATTCATTATATCCTTCATCATTTTCATCTAATCCTCATGATTTCATTCAATATACTGACCATAAAATGTATATGCCGGGAAGATTGAATGGTGTTATCATTTGTGATACAGCAACAAAGAAAGCAAAAGCACAGGGAATTATTAGAAAGAAAAATACTTTATTCGTGGCTGAAGTAAAGGGTCACATTGATGAAAAATACATTAATGATTACATAAACTTTTTACCGATAATAGAAACTTAGATATTATCACAGATGAAAAAACAATTGGCAGTTTTATGTATAATTACATGAAATCAAACAATTTACCAGTTGACCAGAAACAGAGAAAATTAACTCAGTTAGCATCAACACACAACCAATATCAACCATTTTCTTCTTATTATCTTTGGTATCTAATAGACAGATTTCATTTTATCATCGATGATATTCAATCAATTTTAACATTTACGAAAAACACTTGTTTTAATGAATTTGCGAACGAATTTATGAACGAAAGACAAAAGGCTGAATTAGAAGGAAATAAAGGAAAAAGTTTATTTTGCAAGATTTCACTTAATGGATCATATGGTTACGATGCAATGAATACACAAAATTACGCAAAGACTAAAATAATGAATGCACAGAAGTCACGCGTTGTATGTATGTCAAATAAGTTTAAAAACATAAGAGAAATAGGAGAGGATACATATCAACTGATGCTCAAAGATAGATTTTATAGATGTGAAACATGTTTACAAGAGGCATTCTTCACTTTAGATAATGCTAAATACTGGTATTTAGTTTTCATTTATGATTTTATGTATAAATGCATGAATGTTAATCGTTTTCATTTCATTGAAGGTGATACTGATTCATCTTATTGGGCAATCGCTGGCGATCCAAATCTTCCTAACACTCAAGCATTTCAAGCAATTGTTACCGATAAACAATTTTATGATAAAAACATTTTCAAATTCGCACCTTTTGATTTCTTTTGTTTTGATGAGAAATTTAAACCTAAATTAAAGAATAAAGCCGAAGAAAAAGCACATGAGAAAAAATTATTGGGTTTAGCAATTGAGAAACAAGGTGATAACATGGTTGCTTTATGCCCAAAGTGTTATACATCATTCAACGGTTCAATTGATGGAAGTGATTTTAAAAAGATTGCACAAAAAATGAAAGGTGTTAGTTTACGACAAAATAAACAATTAACACCTAAAAATTATTTGGATATAATAAATGATAAAGTGATATTTGATGGTCAGAATATTAATTTACAACTTAAAAACAGGTCAATGACTCGCTTAACAATCGGTAAGACTGCATTAACAGGAGCACACACTAAGGCTGTATGTTGTGAAAATGGATGTTGTATGCCATTTATTTAATAAAATGCCACAGAAGAGACAAAAGGAACCGTTAATGATGCGATTCAAAGAGGTGGGCGCCCTTAAAACATTTATTTTATTTTTATATAAATGGATAATGTAGATTTAAAAAATTTAATTTATGATTTAGTACTTAATCAAAATTTTCTTACTTATTATGAATTAAAATCATATCTCCAAAAACATAATAAAAATATAACGAGTGATGATATGGATTATTATTATCCGTATTATAAAAATGAAATTTTGAAATATCATGATAAAATAATTTCTGAAATTAAAGACAAAATTAAAAATAATGAATATACAAAGGGAAAAACTAAATCACAACTTAAACAATTGAAAGATTTCAAAAATAAAGTATTAACAGAAGAAGATATTGATGAATTATATAAATTATATAATCCTGAGCCGCAAAAAACAAAGGTGCAAAACGCCCAGGTCATTCAGACCATAAATGAAGCACAAGCTTTAATTTATGATTCATTAGTTAAACCATATTCAGCCCGACTTTTAAATGAAGATCAACTTTTGGAATTCATCCTTCAACATAAACTCGAAGCGGGAAAGTATATCAAACCTTTATATACAGTATATTTAAAACAAATGAATAGAATACATCCAGAATTAATGAAAGGAGGAATGAAATCCAAAATCAAAGCAGATAAAATTAAATCACTTGCAACACCAAAACCTCCAACAGTAGTACCTCCTCCTCCTTCAGTTAATCCTTCATCATTCACTTTATTATATCCATTTCAAACATTAAAGAAGCAAAAAGATTTTAAAAAGGATTTCAAGATATTAAATAAACCAATTGACCCAAAAATTCAACCGTTAAAGGAAAAATTTAGTCGCCCTTCATTTGCACCATATCCATATTCATACGAAATCGATCATTTAGAATATTCAAAAGGAAACGTTACTTATTTATTTGCCATTAACATTAACACTAGATATTTATATTGCATTCTGGTGAAAGGGAAAACAGAACAGGAAACAAGAAGAGCTATACAATACTTACTAGATCATGAAAGAGTAGATAATATAAGGGGTGATGGTGATAAAGGATTTCAGGCAGCTATGGCTCATTATTTCCCACAAATTAATTTTTACTTCTCATCTTCTCCATATACGTTTCATAATAAAATAGTTGATGCGGTAATGAGAACTCTTAGAGATGTGTTAGGAGTTAACGGTCAGATATACTGGGATGGAAATCATGACTCCATCATACAGCAGTTAGTATATTATTACAATAATACATGGCATAGAACCATAAACATGAAACCGGTGGAAATGAAAAATGATATTTCAAAAGAATGGGAATATATTAGAAAGCAAATGGAAAGGTTAAATGATGTTAAACGTGAACAAATTAATTCAGGGCTCATGAATTTTAAACAAGGAGATAAAGTTTTGATTCATCTCGATTATGGAAAAACTGATAAATCAATGACAAAAAGAAGACGAAGATTTGACACAATAGCTGAATTTGTTAGATATATTAACGGTAATGTATTAGTTGAGGTTAACAATAAATTAATAGAAATTCCGATTTATTTTATTACTCCATTATATTTAAATAATATTTAATTTTTCGGTGCTACCAGGTTATTCAACATCTCTGAAAAATGATGACAACATGACATTTTGACAACAACATAGGAGGAAGGCATTTATGAATTATTTTGAAGAACTGAAGGTGCTACCATGTTACCATGTGCTACCAGGTCATTCAACATCTCTGAAAAAATGAGACAACATGACATTTTGACAACAACATAGGAGGAAGGCATTTATGAATTATTTTGAAGAACTGAAGGTGCTACCATGTTACCATGTGCTACCAGGTCATTCAACATCTCTGAAAAATGATGACAACATGACATTTTGACAACAACATAGGAGGAAGGCATTTATGAATTATTTTGAAGAACTGAAGGTGCTACCATGTTACCATGTGCTACCAGGTCATTCAACATCTCTGAAAAAATGAGACAACATGACATTTTGACAACAACATAGGAAATATGATGCAGTCCAAAAATAAAGTTAGTTTTAAAATTATTTTTATTTTTTTATTCCTATATAAATGACGGCAACAAACAACAACAGCAACTATATCGTTTCTGATGAAAACGTTATTGATTCATTAGCTGAGGAATTAGTTGTGGCAGAAACTAAAACCCTCAACGAAAGAATTGGTGAAAACAAGATTGATTTACATAACTACCTCAAATACGATGGAGGAAGAGGAAGGAAAACTGGTATGGCTTTATTAGTAAATAAAATTTCGAATTTAACGATTATAGATGTTGATATCAATAAATCATACAATGATGAACTTAAAGAAACAGTTAGAAAAGACATTTTATCAAAACTTTCGGATAAAGATGTTATCGTTAAAACCGCTTCAGGAGGTCTTCACATTTATTGCAACACTAATTTCTTCTATGCAATTTCGAACAGAATGATTAAATGTTATTCCTGCAATGATTATGATATTGACATAATGACTTCTATGGATGATTCAAAGCGTTCTTTAGTAGTTATGGCTGATTCAAGAGTTCGCAAGAATGCAACAGAACCAATCAATACATACTCATTCATTCGTGGAAGTTATGATTCAACATTAACCAGAACAGTGAATGATATATTAAATGATTTGAATATTAAGGTAAGAGTTGAACAGAAGAACGAAGAAATAAAGAGTATAATGAATGAAAACAAAGATGTAAACATTGACGATAACTTGCCCAGAGCATAGTTGATGGCATCTGTGATTTTGAAGTACATAATGACGGTGGAAACATGAATTTAGAAAAAGAAGTTACATTATTCACACTGTTTCAAGCAATTAATTCGTTACCTAATCATTTAATTAATGAAGCATACGATAACGTTTATAACTTCTGCAGTTTAACAGAAAATGCAAAAAGTAATTTTGAAAAAGCACGTGGTAGATATGCACATTTAATGACTTCTCCATTTGTTTTGGTGAAGATTCTAAAACTATATCAAAAGGAATATTATGATGAATATGTTTTGCCTTTATTACGTAAGCCAAAAATAACATTTGATATCAAACTTGATGACTCGTTTTTGATAACAGATATTAGACGCAAGGCTGAAAATCATCAGTATAAAAACAGTTCTGAAGTAATTGAGGATTTATCACGTGTAATCCGTTTTGTAGATTGTGGAAACAAATATTTCATTCAAAAGGACTATAATATCCACAACAAAATGAATCAAATATCATTCGTTCTTCAATCAAACATGAAAGAGTCACTTAAAATGATTAAATTATTTAAAGAAGAAGGTAAAACAATAACAGCATGGGATGTACTATTAAATCAATTATCCTCATTAACCGTTAAGGGTGTTTGCTTTAAATCTGATTCCCCTGATGTTTTCTCAACGTTTCAGGTTATAAATACAACATTCTCGAAAAGCTTGATTACTCAAAAATTGAGATGTTTATGAATTTCATTAAAGAAGCCATTTGTGATAATAACGATGAAGTGTATAAATACCTTCTCGGCTGGATTGCATCAATGATTCAACATCCTGGAATCAAGAATGAAACAGCAATTATTTTGAAAGGACTTCAGGGAACAGGTAAAAACAGATTTACAGACATTATTTCTGAACTTCTCGCTGGTTATTCATGCAAAAACATTACTGAAATAAGTGAGCTAACGGGTAATTTCAATTCAGTAGTTGAGAATAAAATGTTTCTTGTACTTAATGAACTCAAGAATGTAGGTGAAGACAGACTCGCAAACTTCAACGCTTTGAAATCAATTATAACGGATAATGAGATTAGAATTAATGAAAAGAATCAACCCAGAAGAACTGCCCAGAACGTTGCAAACTTCATTTTCGTAACTAATAACGTCTACCCTGTCAAAATTGAAGTTGGAGACAGAAGATATGTAGTTTTAAGAGTTAATGGTAAATTTAAGGGTCAATTTGATTACTTCAAGAATTTGATGAATTCATGCACAAAGGAATTTTATGATAATTTACTGACGTATTTTATGCAATATGACCTTTCATCATTTAATGTACGAATCATTCCGATGACTGAAGCCAAACAAGATTTAATTGAATTATCAACAAATCCTTTAGATGTATGGATAAATACACATTATGATGAATTGTGTGTAGGTATGACGTGTGATAAATGCTCTATTCTGCAAACCATCAGACATGAAAGACAAGAATTTCCAAATGAGTATTAAGGATAAATGTGATAGGAAACATAGAAGAATAGACGGTAAACAAACATGGTGTTATGTTTTGAAAGAAGAAATGAAAGGATTATATAAACAGGTTGAACCAAACGATAATGAGGATTCATTTACTGACGATGAAATACCTGTAAATGAAGCTTTATAAAGTATGATTTGAATTTATTTTTGCCTTCCTCCTATGTTGTTGTCAAAATGTCATGTTGTCTCATTTTTTCAGAGATGTTAATTGACCTGGTAGCACATGGTAACATGGTAGCACCTTCAGTTCTTCAAAATAATTCATAAATGCCTTCCTCCTATGTTGTTGTCAAAATGTCATGTTGTCTCATTTTTTCAGAGATGTTGAATGACCTGGTAGCACATGGTAACATGGTAGCACCTTCAGTTCTTCAAAATAATTCATAAATGCCTTCCTCCTATGTTGTTGTCAAAATGTCATGTTGTCATCATTTTTCAGAGATGTTGAATGACCTGGTAGCACATGGTAACATGGTAGCACCTTCAGTTCTTCAAAATAATTCATAAATGCCTTCCTCCTATGTTGTTGTCAAAATGTCATGTTGTCTCATTTTTCAGAGATGTTGAATGACCTGGTAGCACATGGTAACATGGTAGCACCTTCAGTTCTTCAAAATAATTCATAATGCCTTCCTCCTATGTTGTTGTCAAAATGTCATGTTGTCTCATTTTTTCAGAGATGTTGAATGACCTGGTAGCACATGGTAACATGGTAGCACCTTCAGTTCTTCAAAAATAATTAATTATTGAATAACCTAAAAACATTAACGTAAACATATATTTTTGGTCATTTATGACAAAAATAAATGGTTCATTTACTCACAATATTTTTGTACAAAACGACCCCAAACTTTTAACTTCTTTTCTGCAGTTTCTAATGCTATCTTAGCGAGTTCATATTCTCTAAATTCTCTCTTTAAATCTTCTTGTTCCCATTGGTCTAGTTCGTATGGAGAATCTCTACAACCATAACATATCTCACGTTCGTGTTCTAATTGTTTTTCACACATTTTTCTAACTTCTTCTTCAAACAAATGTTTAGTATTCTCTACTGTATCTTCGAGTTCTTCTTCATCTAACTTCTCATGAACTTTCTTGTCTATGGAGTCCATAATTTTTCCAACTGCTATGCAATATTTTGGAGAAGCCCACATTGCTATATAGTTTATAAGTCTTGGGTCTACATACGTTCCTCTAACCTGTTTGATTTCATCAGGAATTCCTGCATGAATTTTGTATAAAAACCAACCGTCTGAATTCCGGCGGTTGCTATATTCTTCACAAAATGCCTTATAATACTCTTCCCAGGACTTATTTTCCAACAACTTTCTAAAGTCTTTCCTAAACTGCTGACACATATTTGTTGCATTAATGTAACCATCCTTGTCTCTACGTAAGACTTCAATACCATTATAAGTGCCTTTTGTGAATGTTTCGCCATTAGATTTGTTCGTGAATGTTTTTGCTTCGACTGACATTTCTGTTCTTACATACAAAATAAAAAAATAAAAATAAATAAAACTAACTTTATTTTTGGACTGCATCATATTTCCGACACTGTTGTCAAAATGTCATGTTGTCTCATTTTTTCAGAGAAGTTGAATAACCTGGTGACCTGGTGACCCGGTGACTTCATCAGTTATTCAAAAATAATTAATTATTGAATAACCTAAAAACATTAACGTAAACATTAACGATAAAAATTTATTTCTACAGTTCATCCACTACTTCATTACCTAATTAATTACAGACATAAAATATATTTAGTTCATTCGGTAAGCCTTGACCCAAAGGTCTGGGCTCAAGCACATTCAATGAATGCGGTACCATGCAAATATAGTCATAAATGGTGGCATGTAATCTTTACCCAAACCTGTTGGATTTGTTGTGAAAGTATGGACATGATTTCCTCCTGGTTCAGTTTGTCGAAAAGTCTTTTTTGTTGAATCGTTATAAGCTGGAGATAAAACATCATAACCAGCTTCATAGTCTGAGTTGTATAATGGGTGGTCTCTTAATGAGTGTCTATGGTCGCCAGAAAAGTTTGTCGTTCCTGTATGAGTGTGCGGTGGAAGGTTTGCTTCTTTAATTTTCTTCGAACCTCCTGCCGTCTTTGAATATCTAGCACAGTATAAGAATTTGTCTACAATCTGCTTCCATTCACCAAAACCTAAAACACTTGCTGGATTTGTTGAATTCATTGATGTATAAATAGAACCAACAGGATATAATGTTTGAAGTATTTCATTTTTCATGCTTGTAATCACATCATTTACTTCCGACTTCTTTGAATAATTTTCATCAACATAAGTTTTATCTGCTTTAAGGTCTAAACATCCTGAAACCCATTCTGTATCAGCTTTAACTTTAAAAGTCTCCGATGTCCATTCCTTATCCGCCTTCTTCTCTAACTCATCGTTAACATATGTTTTATCTGCCTTAAGGTCTAAACATCCTGAAACCCATCCTGTATCAGCTTTAACTTTAAAAGTCTCAATTGTCCATTCATGATACCATTCAACCTTTTCTTTAATTTCATTATCTTTTTCATCAACATAAACCAATTTGCCTTCTTATTTAACTCACTATCCACATTTTTTATCCACCTTCTTCATTATGTCATTTAGGAAACCTTTTATGAATTCCTCATTTAAATTAAATCTTCCAATCTTCAAAACTTTAGGAAATGCATTTAATGCGTAATATCTCTGTTCTTCTGGTGGAATTGATGTTATATCATCCGTTATTCCTTTAATTTTTGAATTCATAAATAAAATTTCTTTTATATTTGATATCACTGCACCACCTTTGCAAACGAATTCGAAATGGTCATTTTTCAATACTATCTCCAAATCTCCATATTTCAACATTTGCGTTTGTTCTGCCATCTTTGAATTATATGCATATATGGCGTATGTAATGGTCTGAAGGACCTGGGTGCTTTGTGCCTTAAGTTGCTGCGGTTGCTGTTGTTTAATCATTTATTATGATTTAAAAATAAATATTTAATCCGTTATCTCATCAGCTATTTTCTCTATTTGAAATTGCCATAATATTTCATTCATAAATTTTAAATCACAATCAAATAGGTCAGTTATTCTAAATTTAATATTTGATAAATCTTTTGAATGAAGAATAAATGAATTCCCGGATAATTGAAACGGATATGATAAAGAAAATGTGTTTAAGTTGATGGATAAAATGTTTTGTATTGATGGGTAAGAGTTAGGGTCTAATGTTTGATGTGAAAATCTCATTGGGGTATTAACTTTATCACATTTGATTAAAATGAAATTGGAACCAGTGTCAGAATACAAAACATCCCCAACATCTTTTTCAAAATTTAATATCCCCAACAATGAACGAAGATGAGGAGTACAAAATTTAATTTTCAGCGGGAATTTAATAAGGTTATTTATTTCATCAAGTTCAAAAAGTTTATCAGGTTTTGATTTAAAATTTTCTTCATACCATACAATAAATGATTCATTTAAATAACTTAAAATCGTGTTAATATCCCATTTCACTATCACATTATTTATATACATATCATACGTTTTTTCATGGTCATCTTTAATAAATGATATATAATCTGAAGGGTCTAAAAGAATGGGATTAAATTTACCACTCACAGAAACGAGAGTAACATTATAAATTCCACTAACTGTTAAATTTAATTCACAGTTATTATTCGAAATAATATTGATAATTGACATTTTTTATTACGATTAAAAATATGGTAAAGGAGTGGGGGACAAACTCGCCCATTGTCACTTTTTCATTAACCTTAAACTTGTAATTTCCATTATTTTTAATTAACCTTATTTCTTTCCCAATTCCTGATTTATTTTATTCACTTACTATTAAAAGTCACATTTTAATAAAATATAATAATTTATTTATAGCATTTTTTACTATACTGTAATAAAAAATTAATTATAATAAATTAAATGTTTATTAAATCAAATGTTTTCTTTGCAATAATATTTTTAATGTTGAGTAAACAATGTTGGGATCAAGTGTATCATTTTTCAGACCTTTCTGAACAGCTTCAAGCATACTGATGCATTCGACTTTTTTAAATTGTGTCATTTCTTCGAAATCTCTTGTGACTTTTTTGATAACTTTAACACTTCTCTCTGAATCCAGACCTTTAATTTGCAACTTAATCAGGAATGAAGGAACAACACTGGAATATAACTCGATGACAAGTTCATCGAGTCGAAGATTTGGTTGTACACCACTTGTATGTGCCGGATACCATTGTGTCAAATTTTTTCTGAAATTAACTTTAAAAGTACTAAGTAAGATCATGAGATATAGCAATATATGTTTAAACCAACTTATATTTTGGTTGTACACCACTTGTATGTGCCGGATACCATTGTGTCAAATTTTTTCTGAAATTAACTTTAAAAGTACTAAGTAAGATCATGAGATATAGCAATATATGTTTAAACCAACTTATATTTTGGTTGTACACCACTTGTATGTGCCAGATACCATTGTGTCAAATTTTTTCTGAAATTAACTTTAAAAGTACTAAGTAAGATCATTTATTTTTGCATAATATAATGCCAATATGGTTTCTTTTGATTTTATTTCATGTATAAGCAAATCAGATTTACCCAAAAACTCCACTCCATAAGCGTTCATTTGCTAAATTAAAAAGTGACAATGGGCTAGTCTGTCCCTTTCTCTATGGTAAAGCGTTATTTTCCAGTGATAAATAAAACTAGAATAAGATTACCTCAAGAATTCATAAATTCAACGAATAAGAAATTCATTCATGTTATAAATTTTAGTGTTTTCAAAAAATATGAGTCAATGTCATATTCATCAACAGGTTATATTTCACTTCATTCAAATTTAGTTCAATCAAACCCATATAATGACCATTTCATAAGATTTTCAGATGGTATTAAAAATGTAATTGATAGATTAAAATATGAACAGATTGACAATATCGAATTTTTGGAATTTTGGTTTAAATATCCCGATGGAAAAAAGATTGAAGTTAAAGATAAAGCTGATACTATAACAAAAACAATTACAATGACCGATCCGGATAGTGGGGAACAAAAAGAAATAAAACAAACGATAGAAACCGGTGAAAGGTCAATTATTATTGATTATGATTCAAAGGATTATTATTCGATAATGTTAATGCTTGAATATTAAATAGCCTTAACAAAGAATTTTTCAAGTGATATTTTATATTCATCAACTATTTTATTATAAATATCATTATATGTTAAATGAAGTTCAGTTGTTGTTCCGTTCTTTGATATCTTAATTGTGCTAATATCCTTTATAGGATTTATTTTTGCAACTGTTCCGCAGCATGAAACCTCATCATCTATGAAAAATTGAATCTTAACGTCTGAATCTTGAACATCACAAAGAATGGCGATAATGTGAATTAATGATTCATAAGGTAAAATAATTAAACCGGATTGGTCAATTAAATTTATTATTGAATCATAATTATTAATTATTATATCACGGTAAATTTCATTAATTCAGAATTAATGTCTATTTTATATGGGTTCTCGATGTTTGATGAAAGAGGCGGGGGGTATGTTGGATAAGTGGGAATTTCAACGGGTTCTTTACCGGGTTCAGATAAAATGATTGGGTCTCCATTCTCATGGTTTTCTTCATTCTCCTCATTCTTCGGTAAGTCACGAGTTAATAAATTTGGTTGAGTTGCTGACCTTGTTAATTCGGGGCTAACATTAACTTTAACATTTTGAATAATTCGTGATTTATCATCATTTACGTTATAACCAACCGTAATCTCTGCTTTTGCGTTAGTGTTCTTTTGACTAGTGAAACGTCTTCTCATTTATATTCGAATAAACAAAATATATTTAAACTTTTATTTTGCTGGAACTTTTGAATCTATTATTCCCTGTATTTGTTCATGAAGTTGATTTTTAGCATTTTCATCGAAATTAATAGACCGAATATATTCATTCATTGCATTCTTATAATCATTTGATTTCTCAAATTTTTTTTATCTGATTCCTTAACTAAATCATAAGTTAAACCTCGTTGCTGATATAATGGTTTCTTAATTAAATCTTTGAATGCTTGAGATAAAGCACCTGATGCAATTCTTGCTACTATAATTGGTTGGAATTGCTGTTTAAGTTCATCTTTAACATTTGCGAAAACTGGATCGAATAAAGCAACTTTAAAGAATTTCTTAGCTGAAATTTCAGGTCTAATATTTGCATATTGACCATCAAACTGGTTAGAATATCGTGGTAATCCATCCCGTCCCTCTTCAATAGCATTTAATTCTTCATTGAAATAAGAATATGGATTATGACGGTATGAATTAATTGGACCATTTTCACCTTCTCCAATGTATTGTTTAACAGCTTTTCCATTTTCATCAAATTGCATAGGATAACGTTCATTATATGCTTACGTTTAGGATAATCAGACATAGTTAATTTATAACCATTTA